GAACTTCTTGCACTTTTAAGTAAAGGCAAAGACTTGCACGTGATACAATAACCAGCACCAAGTGGGAGCTGCTTACAGGCTGTCTGTTACAATTAGCTGGCTACGTTTATCCTGCAGCTAAGAGACATTAACAGCACAACGCAAGCCTGAAGGCTGAGCTTTATGTGCAGCACCAGCTTGGGCCTACTCAAGTTAACCATTAAGTGGATTATATTCCTTGATGTGCAGTGGTCAGGATCATTACCCTGACATAAGTGACACTATCTCCAATGCTCATACTGCAGATGAATTTGCAACATACTTGACAAAAGAAACAAATTTACAGGGATTATCTTGGACTAAATCCCAGAATCCCAGAATCACAGAATATTCTAGAGTTGGAAGGGACCTCGAAAGATCATGCAGTCCAACCCCTGCCAGAGCAGGATCACCAGACCAGGTCACACAGGAACACGTCCAGGCGGGTTTTGAATGTCTGCAGAGAAGGAGACTCCACAACCTCTCTGGGCAGCCTGGGCCATGCTCTGGCACCCTCACAGTGAAAAAGTTTTTCCTCATGTTCAGATTGAACCTCCTATGCTCCAGCTTTCTCCCATTGCCCCTTGTCCTGTCATTGGACATCACAGAGCAGAGCCTGGCTCCTTCCTCCTGACACTCGCCCTTTACAAATTTATAAACATGAATGAGGTCTCCCCTCAGTCTCCTCTTCTCCAAGCTAAAGAGACCCAGCTCCCTCAGCCACTCCTCATAAGGGAGATGCTCCACTCCCTCCATCAACCACAATCCATCTCACTACCCGATCATCTAGACCACACTTCCTCAGTTTAGCTGAAAGGATGCTATAGGAGACGGTGTCAAATGCTTTACTGAAATCGAGATAGACCACATCCACTGCCCTACCATCATCTATCCACCTCTTAGGTCCTCATAAAAGGCTACCAGGTTGGTCAAACATGACTTCCCCTTGATGAAACCGTGCTCACTGCTCCTAATGACCCTCTTATCTTTGATATGTCTGGAGACAGCATCGAGGATAAGCTGTTCCATCACCTTCCTAGGGATGGAGGTGAGGCTGACTGGTCTGTAGTTACCCGGGTCCTCCTTCTTGCCCTTTTTGAAGACTGGAGTGACATTTGCTTTCCTCCAGTCCTCAGACACTTCTCCTGTTGCCCACAACTTACCAAAGATGATGGAGAGTGGCCTAGCAATGATTCCCACCCGCACTCTCAGCACCCATGGGTGCATCCCATCAGGGCCCATCGATTTATGTATGTCCAGTTACATAGTTGGGGTAAATATACCCCAACTCAATTAGATTCAGCTCTTCACAGCGCTTCATAAAACCAGTTTTTGTAAAAGGATTTCCCATTACTCATAATTTTCAGTAAGTGAAGGAAGTAAGCACATCACTCCAAAAGCACCCTTGGTTTGAGGTGAAAAGCAAGTTTATTCATAAGCTAGACTCTTTAGATTTGGACATATCCTCTCAGATTCCTAGATACGCTTTCCTGAGAATGAGTACTTTATTATCATTATTTTAGGATCTTTGCCCGTAGATGGCAGTATTGGCTGTCCTTCTGCAGAACTAGCGGTACTTGCATTGACTGTATTCCATCACAGAAGATTCTGTTGTTCGGTAAGGCCATAAACTGCACAGACTTTGGACAAATCAACTGCCCCTGCCTCACTTCCCTGTGACTGAAATGGGACAGTAGATTTTCCTTTCTTTCTAGTTTAGCTTGACTAGTAAAGCAGTGCGAGCTCTTTAAGGAGTAGGTTATCTCTTGTTCCATGTGAATGTGTATCAGTGAGCCTTGATCCTCATGGGAGTTTTGCATGAGGAAAGAACCAGAACTGGGACCTTCATTTGAGTTATGTATGGTGGAAAATAATTCATGAGCTGCTGGATGTAGCCAAATACACCTATACTCAAATGCTTCTTGACAGTCTTATAACTGTTCTCAGTTTATCTACACTTTGAGTTCAGTGGCTCAATCTGTAAAGGATATGAGTATACCTCAGTAATGCAGTGTAAAAGAAGAAATCCATGAGGCAGAGAATCCTGTCTGAGTGGTTTGCCTTATTCAGGAAGTCTGCAGCAAAGCTGGAAGTCAAATCCCTGAATCCTACCTTTAAAGGGGAAGTTGGGAACAGATGGTTCCTTAGGGTTTCCAAGAGATCATACACAGCAGCCACATCTGCTAAGCACTTTCTGATGATAACTCACTGTTTATTTCTCCAAACATGATGTCTATTGTAGGAAGAAGCTGTGTCTATCATTTCAGTCCTTCCCTCAGAATTTAGCTGCTGTCTAGGCTGACTGTCAGCAGTGGAGCTCATGAGTGGTACTAGTACTGAGGTGACCTGCCTTTAGCTTCAAACATGTGCAGAACCCTTGCAAGTCTGCAGTTTTCTTAAACTGTTTTCAAGCTGTGGATTGAGAGGCTTGCTCTGTAGGATCGCTCTGGGACTGTGACAGATGGAGGGCCTGTCACTCGGCATGTGGTAAATTGCATCTATCTGGCTCCCCTCAAAGTTAGTTTGAGAGGCTCTGAGATCTTCTGTGGATGAAAGTTGCTTTGTTACATAGCAAATTATGAAGTATCTGGAAGGACAGTTCCGTTTTACCTTACTACTCTAGCGGCCTTAGAGGAACAGTGTAAAAGTGTATGTCTTATCCAAAACAAAGTTCAGTCTGAGTGAGGATGTTATGGGGATCATAGCCATAGTATCTGTTCAAAGACATTTACTTATTACATTCCTAAAGGATAAAAACACGGGATATAGCAGGATGTTTCAGAGGTCAGTAATACCTGCTTCAGGGGAATGTACAAAAGGCACCATCATCACAAAATCTGCCTTTAGCGGAAGTTAAAATATAAGCCCCCATTAGTAAAAGATTTGTTTTGCTAGAGCTCTTCCTGGTTAGTAGTTAAGTGTTACAGCTACTTTTTCATAAAAAGAAATGGAAATGAAATGCAATTCAGTATTTTCAGAAATCTTTTTAATATCCCTGTAAAACGGGAAAAACTTCTGTCAAACAGTAAACACTTCTGTCAAACAGCTGCAAAGATGATGCATAAACATGGAGGAACAAATACTGCCTTCAAGATTGTCTTCTAAATCCAGAATGCTTGTTCTAGACCGCAGTAAAAACACCTTTGCATAAAACACAGGAATATTTTCACTGAGAAGCTTTTTAAAGTTGTTTTGGTACAAAAAGTGAATTGTGCATTCGTGTGCAGTGTAGTGCATTCATTGCATAGACAATTAAAATCAAAGTGAAAGGCCAAATACCAGATGAAGGTAACAAAGTTATGAACAAAAAGTTGGCTGATGACACTCGAAAACACTGTGCAAACAGTCCTTTATGTGCAACATAAAAACAGTAAATGCAGAATGTACGGAGAGTAGTGCTTCTGGGAAGGCGCAAATTCAATGGATTTAAGAGAAAACATTGAATTCTGTTTATGTTTATACCAATATAAGTCCAGAGTTACTCCACTGATCCGGAGTTACTCTGGATCTCTATCAATATGTTTGAAATTAGCATCTGGCCCACATAATAAATTTCCTTTCTGTCTTTTCTTGACTTCCAGCAGACTCTCTGGGGGTAAAAAGAAAAAAATGGCCTTTATTTTAATTGTATTATGGTGGTTTTTTACTGAAAGTCATATTTTAAATTTTAATTTAATCCCTCATTCTTTCTGAACCATGAATCTCTCATTTGTAATGAAAATAAACAGCTATTTTATTGTATTGTTTCTACTGCAGTTTTATATTCAAATGCCTCTTCGTATTTTCTCCTTTCCTGAAATCAAAGAAGTTTTAAAAATATGTACAATTCGGTGAAATAAATGCTGTTATAATTTCCTATGTTTAAAAGTTACTCTTCCAATGCACATCTAATAACTTCACTTCCATACATGTCATCTTCTAGATAAAGGACTTAGAAATAGGGCTATGGAAACAGGTACAATCTTACAAACTTGAGCAACAGATTTCTGCTCAAATCCTCTCAAACTCACACTAACAGAAATGCTTTTTACAAGAGAAATACACTGTACAGAACGTTATTTACTCTGATTTAAAGATCTGATTCGGCCCCTACTGAAGCCAGTGGGACTTCCCATAGACTGGTTCAGATCCTAGATAAGAATTACAAGATAGTTAATCGATGGAAAGGATCAGGGGAAGATGAAATGTATATGAGTGTCACAGTGCACACACAGTCACTTCATTTGGAATAGTATTGCGTTCCTTTTTACGTGGATGCTGAACGAAAGAATACTGATGCTATCTACAGCTCTTCTTATTGCTGGGAAAATTAATATTCCATCCAGTTATTAGAATGGTCTTCCTGCTTTGAAGAGAACCACCTCGGGTTTAAAGACATCCTATTTTTCTGTCAGCTTCTTGATTTGAGATATCTAGTGATGGCGATGTAACTTCTTGGGCTGGAGTGGTGACTGGAAATGGTTCTACATTGTTCAAGCAACCAAAGGTAAACAAATTTAGTCCTTCCACACAAAAGCATAACTACTTTAGAATGTACTGATTTGCAGTCCAGAAGACAAGAGCGCACAATAATATGTAAGGGACAACTACTCTTCCACCAACACAATCTTAGGTCTTTATAGTTGCCCTCTGGACAGTAAAGCTAATTCCAAAGGCTGCTATCTTTTTGTCACAGTCCCACAATGTTTTTCTAACAATTATTACATTATTACGCAGAACACACACGTTGTCCATGACAATTTAATAGCAGTGTTGCAGTGCTGACTGGTTTTTTCCTCAAACTGTGAGCCAAGATTTAAGATTTAAAGGACTTACCCAGGACATGTTAAGATTAAGGTTTTGAAATGCCTTAGAAATCACAGTAATCTAACAAACCATGTAACATAATACTTGTCTGTGTTGGCTTGACATCTCCTTAAACCAATTGCTGAGTGGTCCCTGGAGTCCAAGGGGAATAGCAACAGGGAAGAGTCAGATTACAGTCAGTAGGAATCCATTGCTTGAAGGTTCTGAAGGACTTCCAGCACAACTTCATAACAGAATATATACTCATCCTGCACACAGAGACGCTAGTGTGAAACATCCAGTTACACCGAACATACATTCTAGACAGTGAAGGATGAACAGGCTGAAGTGTTATTTATAACATCAGCATCTTTGTAGCATGGATACAAAAGATTACAGATATAGGAGCATGCTTGTTCTTTTTGTTCCATCACTCATTAAAGTTCAGAAACACTTTCTTATTCAATGTAAGTGTTCAGGGCTCATTTATGTCAATGAAGGTTATATAGATGATTAATCACATGCTTAATCACTATCATGAAGAAAAATATATTGAAGCATGTGCTAAAATATTTGCCTGTAGGAAGAAGTTATCCTAGTCCTGTCTTGCTTTTCTTCCCACCACCTGTTCACTCTAAATTTAGTTAAGCGTATCTTGCCTTTTCCTGCGTGAAAACTCTTTTTCAAGGATAGGTTTAACTCAGCAGTAGAAGGGTTTACTGAGGTGATGATAACGCAGCAATAGCATGAATTCAACTGAAGGCTGCAATTTTGCAGGGTAGAGTTTATGATATCTCACTGGTTTTGTTGTTGATCTCTGCTTTTCACTTAATAAAGAAAGAAGGGGGTTGATATGCGTATTATATTGGTACTTTGCTTTTATTTCAGTTAATTAGTAGGGAACAGATCTTTTATATTTAAATCTAGACACCACTTTGCTGGAAGACTCTTATTCTCTTCAAATGAGAGGGCTGAAATTAGGCTTTAAGCTCCGAATTTATCAAAGCATGTGGATATGTACCACTAATTGAGTCTTTTAAAAATCATAATCTAGTTGAACATTGAAAGCTTACCTTACTTTGGATCATGCCAAAACGCTGATCTCTCAAATCTCTCACTATCTGCTCGATGTTGAACTACCAGAAGAAAACAGTTTTTATTTCATTGCCGTGCAAGTTACAAAGAAAGATTTAAACATGTTCCCATGGGGAAGCTCTGACTCAGTTCTTTTACAAGTAGTATATCTGTACCTATTATCTCTTTTGTTTAAAACAACAAAAGTTGAGTTTATTCCATTTTGTTAGAATGAATTCTACCAGGAATTACTCTGCTCTAAGGTACCCCCACATGTTGCTGACCTCCATGACCTGTTTGATACTTACACATAGATCTTTTTCTATGTAGCTGAGCAGAACTTCAAGACACAGCAAAACTCCACTTCTTCCAATGCCACTGCTGCAGTGAGCAACGATAGGTCCTGTACTGTGAACTTTTCTCATGTAACAAATAAATTTTACGAGCTGCTCAGCCAGTTTGGGAGTACTGTGGTCTGGCCAATTGGCAAACTGCAAATGACTTACAATGCGTTTCTCTTCTGTCTGGAAGAAAAAGACCAAAAATGTTAAAAAATACCAGTCCTAAGACCTATTTTCAAGGAATTTGAGTGATAAATTTTCCTTCAGCTTAATTCTTAGTAAATTGTTTGTCTACCCTACAATTCTTCAGCTTTTCATATTTGACCATATTAAGGTTTCTTTTAGATTTTTAGAAATGCACTCGAAGACACAGGCCTAGGGAGTTTACTTCATATAATTTGTATGAGGCACTGAAGTTACTCTGTTGCCCCAAAAGGATGTCGTGATCTCATTTGTTGGTTAGAATGAAAAAAAACACAAACAAAAACCATTTGGTAAATTAAAACATTCCAGTACTGTTTCTGTTACTGGACTAAGCTGTACTAATAGAAGAGTAGTAATATCATAGCCACAATAGTACGATCATCAATGCTGATAAGCATAAATGCTATATTACAGAATATGAACCCACTTTGGCAGCCCTTACTGATTTGATTTGATGAGAACAGCAAGCAATTCTGCAAAACACTGAACACATCAGCTCTGTGACTATTAAAGGATTGATTTTTGGACAGTCCTGTTCAAATGTATGTAATGTTGATTCCGTTACTTGTTGAATGAGCAAAGCAGCAGCATTTCATCAACCTTAATTTCATGCCTGTTGTTCAGACTTTTACAGTCCTGAAAAACACTGGGGACAAAAACCTGAATATTCTGAAATATCACAGAAGAAACAAACAATAATACTAGTGTTTAGTAATGTAAAATACCCAATAAATGTCATCATCTATGAAAGTATTAAATATTCTCAACTTACCCGCTTGTTGATAACTTCTATTGTTCTAATTATGAAATATTCCAGCATCTGGTGATTATCTAGCCGAAGATAGAAATTAGCCAGGTCTATAGAGTCATGGGGTGGTTCAGGCCAGTATCGATGACATTTGACTTGCCCTAGCTCCACTTCTTCTGTCATCATGGCAACCACATCTGATTCACTCTCCCAAACCATTTGCCAGAAATCAGCCGTAGTGGATGGCAGAGGCCCTTGCGTTATAATATAGAAATGTTCCTCTTCTCCAACTTTCATTCTAATGTAACTTGCATTAATGTAGCCATTCTTTTCCCCCAGAGGAACTCGTGTCTTATCGTCTGTACAGAAACAGAAAGTTGCTATTTCAGCTGGACATCTGAAACAGTTCTACCATCTTTAGCACTCAGGAGACAGGGAACTTCAGCTTCCAGCAGCAAAGTATGTCTCTGGGTTTTAGGATACATTTGGCTAGTAGCACTAATATTAATCACTGCTAATAGGAGTTTCTGCAGATAAATCGTGTGGTTCACTGCAGCTTTTTCTCTTTTAAGATACTTGCATAACACTCTGAAAAGCCTGATAATACCATAGAATTGTTTGGCAGCAATTCAAAATAGTGTATCCACACTGGTTTTAATGTATGTCATGGGAACATTGTCACTGGATATTGGTGTTACAAAACAGGAACCTCCTGAGAATGTATACTGTATATATACCTCACTGCTATAGAGGTAACTGCTACAGATTTTACATGTGTTGTGCTGCTGCTTCAGTTTAGAAAGACATCAAGGGTCCAGAAAGTGTTCTCCTTCTGTCATGTTACCTCTTGGGCAATCATTGGGCAGTACATTATTTGTAAATCCTTGTTAACAGCAGTCATTCAGCTCTCAAATCTTCCTTCTAAAATTACTTCTTGTCAGTGATTAAACTTGTTTCTAACTCAGATCAGAGCTGAACAGCTGAAAGCTCTGTTTGGATATTATGCTTTCAAATACATCTGAAAGGAACTTTATCTTTTCAAGAGCTACATAACTTCATGATTTCCACTGTATTTTTCAGCATTCCACTGTGTCACAAGCAGGAGATGTAGCTGCATATTTAAATAGATTTAAGGAACTGCTATTATTGTTCAAGTTACACTTGCCCACAGAAATGTAGATCAGTATCTCTGAGAAAGATGCAAGGAAAGACCAAGGCAGCTGGCGCCCTACCAGACCAAGTCCTGCCTTGTGGAAGATGGTGCTTTAGAAAATAACATACTGTGCAATGCAGAAATCCTTACGTGAATGCTGCCTCTTCTGAAAGAACCTCAACTCATTTCCTTATTAGTGGAGCTCTCTGTGATTAAGGATGTGGTGGGATTTGCACCTCCTACATCTCAGTGTTACAGCTGTTGTCCTGCTTGCTCATGTCTTTGTTCACTAATGTGTGTTCTCATTAGTGTGCATACTTACATGGAAGAATATCTTGGTATCTGTTTTTATCCTGGTTTTCTGGTGCTTTGCCAGTTCTGCAGTCATCTACTGGTTTCACATGTTCTAAAGCCTAGATCAAGGAGAAATAGTCAATCCATGTTGTTCATATCCTTCATAGGCAATCTTTACAGTGATGGTGTGAGAAAACTTTACTGCTATATGTGACCCAAGACTGGCAAACAGACTGAGAGAAGAGAATCAGTACACCATTCTCTAAACTTCTAGGCAAGTAATTTAAATGGCTTTGTATTTTCTCCAGCTTACACAACATTTCTGGAGTTTTCAAGTGAGATTTCTAACCCACATCCTCAGCCTCTGTCATTACAAATCCCTGGTGTATATTGCTGTAAAACAGATGTTTGGAATAGTGTCTTGGCATTCATGTTAGCAATGTCAGCATTCATAACTGATAACGTACTGACTGAAGCACCAACTGTTGCACTGTTAACAGGTAGTGAATATCAGTAAATACTTTTCAGTGATGGACAAACTGATGGAGATAGGGAACAGCATCAATGATGTTAAGTGCAAATCATATGGTAGTTAAGTACTCATAGAAGAATCAGAGGAACAGAATGCAGTGTAGCTGGAAGCAGGGATGTGCAAGTTAATTTCATTTACAGTTCTGAGTTACCTTCACTTTTCTTTAATCTTTTTACCTCTTTGGTATGCATTACACAATGTTTAGCCATTACACTATGCCACTCTACAGTGTATAGGGACTGAAATACATGTGACAGTCTTTTAAGATCTTCATCATACTGCAGCTTTTACTCAAATAAAATATCCATCTTTTCATTTTCTGAGCAGACACATGACTCAACTCACACTATGCTATGCCTACATCATCATGGACTGGAATGAATGGAAATTCATACATGCCCTGGAGCCTTCAGAGAAAGTCAGCAAATCCTATACACTTGACCCTGTGGGATTTTTTACCCAGAAAGTCAGAGATAGAAAGGCAAGTGAAAGAAACCGATAACGTTGTAATTACTATGGAAAGGTGGTAGCAATCTATTTCACTGGTGATAAGTGCATCCTTTAAAGGAAATTCCAGTACTGTGTTGAAGACTTATGAAATAATCTGCCATTTGGGAATTTGCTGATAACTGAGTAGTCTATTTATATACTGAAGCAAGAGATTTTATATGCTGTCCTATTTTTAAACTTTTTCATGATTTATATGCCATCAGTTGTAATTATGTGTTTTCATTACCCATGGAGGTACGTTACTTTTTCGTTTTAATTTCACAAAGTTCCTGACCTTAATAGTGTCTTCTGGCAATGATTTCCATGGATCACTGAAGCATTTCATGAAACATTTTCCTTTCATCAACTGTTTTGAGACTAATGAATCCCTAACAGCATGAATTTCTTGCTTTAATGCATCCTCTAGAACAGTTTTTAGCCAAATGTTCAGCAGAACCAAGGAGGTAATAGGAAGAAGTCAGTCTAGGAAAAAGTGATTAATACTCTACTTTTCTGTATTATTTATTTTTTTATTTCATGTGGGCAGTATCTCTGAACAGGGAATAGAAAGAAAGTGAACCAGATACAGTAGCATCACCCACATGGCAGAGTAGAAGCCCTATTCTGGCTGGAATAATTCTCTGACAAAGTGGAGTCAGTAAAGATACACAAGTGGATTTCTCCTATAGTTTGCAGAAGGCTGCTAAAAGTCACTTTCTTAGCTCTGCTAAACATTCAGATCCTAAAAAAAAGAGTCACACTTTACCATAAACTCCTTTAACACCTCTTGATTCTCAATCCGCAACTGAAGGCCTTGAATAAGACCTGTGATGTCAGTCCGTGGACCTGCTCCAGTCAGTGATGGTTTAAAGTTAATTAACCGAGTCAGTTCATCTCCAGAAGCAAAGGTTCTGCCTACGTATCAACAAAAAAAAACAAAGGAGTTTTTGATTACTGTAGTTCATAGTGCAAAGTCATAGCTTTAAAAACTAGGGGGCTGCAGTGAAAATGAAATGTTGAAAATTATTTTTGGCTTGCTTATGTTGACAGCAGAAGGAAGAATAAGTCAGCACCATGGATACAACCAGCGCCACATTTCATGTAATTTGGAAGCAGATCCAACTATTGCAACTTACTGCCTCATACGGTTTCTAAATATGTTCTAAATAAACTGTTCTTGCAGAATTGTAAACTTTAACATTAGTTTATATTGGTATAGGAGACTCTGGCCACATCTTCACAGGGAATCATCTTCATGTTTCCAATACTCGCCTGAAAATTAGTATTGCCACATGCCACTGCTAGGAATAATCACTGCAAATTCTTCCTCCCTGAAGTAAGAAAATGTCTTCTATTCTTTTCATTGTACCTCACACTCACCTTCAAGAACAAGATATGAAGAATCTTTGATACAAAGTTAGGATCAATTTTTACTAAGTAGCTCACCCTGAAGCATATGTTCTGATCCAAAACTTGACAGATTAAGAAGATCAGTATCTCCAGAAATATCTCTACTGTACTGGAGCTACTGAAAAGCTTTTATTCCCATGTAGAGTAAAAACAGTAGCTTGTCTGGCAAATAAACCAGTGATTTGAGGCAGAGGAATTATTGAATTTGTCCTTTTAGTCTCAGGGAACTGTTGGCAAAGAATAACATGCCAGCTGTCTCAAAGAAAACCTGATGATCTGTTCTACAGTTTTATTGTAGGCTGAAGACAAGGAGCAATGCTCTGTTTTCCTTTTGTACGATGTCATTGCTACTCTTAACTAATCTCCGTTACAGAAGTGGTGTACTTTCTACGCTTTTGTCTTGGGCTACAACTTGCACCTGCCTTGTCTGAGCTTCTAAGACACTTGGTGTTCTCTTACCCTCACAGATGCAAGGGTGTTTCTATTAACTGGTTGAGAGTGCCAGTGAAGACAGAGCCCCCACTCCAGATAAAGTGTGTTATTTCCCATACACCTCTCTTTCCTTCTAGATAAAGTGGAATAAAAATCCCAAACTTTGAGAAGGTAGTAGAGGATAGATTGGTTATAATCTTCTGTTGGCTAGCCAGCACAGCTTGGTAGTGTGAGGCAGATAACTGTGGTTTACTTCTAATAAAAGACATCAGCAATTCATTGCCTCCACAGAGCAAGAAGAAGCAGGGAGTCCCATATTTCAGAGAATCTGTGGGATACTGCCGCATCCTCAATATGATCCCTTTCACAAGTTATTCTTGTTTGGGGCAGCAGCAGCTTAATTTTCTATAGGAACAACTAGGCAGATTCTTTCTGTAAACTGACTTCTGATATTGGAAGGGCTTTAGCACTAGAACTGTGAAAGTGCTTCAGTATGTGTTTAAGCACATCAGTTCTAGAATTTTTAATGAAGTTATCATATAAAGTGGAATTTGGTGATTCTGGGAACAAAGGCTTGAGATGGAATTTGACACACTCAGTCTCCATGTTTGTGTAACTGTTTCATTTGCTTTTTTGAGGAGCTGTATGGGAACAGTATGGGATTGAGGACAATGATTTCAAAAATCTGTTGCATCTAGTTATAAGAAACACCTTTTGTAGCATGTTCTTGGAATTTGTTCCATAAATTCTCAAAGTCTTCTTTGTCATTGCCTTTCATATATAAAAAAGGCCTTCTACTACATCCTTCTACTACCTCTGGTAAGATAAACCATCTGCTTTTATTTTATTCATTTTGGGGCAAATTAAGAATTTCAGGGTTTTTTTAATTATGCACTGGGAAGCTGCCACAAAATTGCTTCTGACCCAAACTGCAATGTTAATTTTTTTTGTTTAGCCTCTGACCCTATGTGTCATTTCTTTGCACTGTCCAATAGTGCATGATTTGAACAAATGTCATGATGTTGCTCAAATAAATTCAACACATTTATTTTCCTCTTATTTTCTCAGTTTGTACACCTAATTGAACATAATCAAGGTCTTAAGAGATTTTACTTTGGGGAAGGACATAACGTACAACATTAGGAGAAAAAAATCTCAACCGAAAACCAAAACAAGAGAAAGACAAAAAACCCACAAAGGAAAAAAAAAATGTTGCTCATCCTTTTGAAACTGGAGTTCCAAGGCAGAGCTGCTCAGAGCAGTGCTGAGTGGGTGATAACCAGCAGAGCTGCACACCCTGATTTTGGTTAACTACATCCAGACTCATGTTCGGTCCTTCTAGCAGATCTCCAAAAGAGTTGGAGAGCTCCTGATGCGGGCCTTTTTCTTGTGGATGTTGCAAAGGTTTGATAGCCTACATATGTATCAATGTTTAAAATTGTGTCCCGAGCGCTCTTTGAGAAATAAAGAACAACTTCTTAGCTTGTATACAAGGGATTAGTGTTGCTGTCACTATACATATGTGGAGGAGCTGCCCTGTAATGTTACATAAACAAGAGAAGTTTTTGCATGGTTACTTCTAGGTAGAATGGAAATCCTGTGAAGCGTATCATCATCCTCATTGTTCCAGTTGCCTGACTCAGACTGCTGACTCTCTCTTCTGCAGCCTTCACATTCTGGATATTCCTGTGACCTGTAAAACAGCAGTAGTTGAATGGTCTTATGAAAGTGGCAGAAACTTTGATAATCTGAAGTGCACAAAGGTTTTGTTTTTAATCTATTTTTGGTCACTTCTAATTTCACAGAATCATAGAATGGTTTGGGCTGGAAGGGACCTCAAAGATCATCTAGTCCAATCCCCCTGCCATGGGCAATTTCCTTGGTGTCTGGAGTTCAACATCTGTATCACTACAGCCACAGTAGCACAAGGTCCAGCCCAAGGATACAAGACCTGCTTGGAACACTTAGTAAAACTCACAGGGACGCTGCCCACACCAGCATAATAGTGCTGCTCTCTCTCTCTTTCACCACTAGTAAGGCTGAAGCTAGATTAGGCATGTCTGCGTGAGCTGTTACACCTAGAAGCTTCCGTTTCATTTGTCTTAGTAGTTGTGTGGAAACTGTTTAGCAACTCTTACTGCAGATGGAGCTGCATTCCAATGAACTGTATTTCTATCACTTGGGACACATGAGTGCATTTACATAGCATATTAGGACAGCTCTGGAAATATAAGAATAGATTTTCTGTACTATGTATTTTAATAGCTTTACTGCATTTGAAAGAATTACCTATCTGAAATGTTACTGATGATGTCCTTATAGCCTTGTCCAGCCGGCTGACCTTGCAGAGGGGAATTGTGTGTACTCTCTGGATCCTGCAGGTTTAAAGTAAAAAAGGCTGTGAAAAATCAGTACACAGAAACATCAAGAATACAATTACTGTCATTAACATTCTTTCGTATATTTGACAAAAATGTGTCCTTCACTGAAGAAGAAAAGGGAAAATAGAATAGTTTCCAACTTTGATTCAGCATTGCCCTATCTACTAGGAGTAAAAACCCACAACAGCTGTGTTTGTGAGTTTGATAATGATACAGTCTTCAGACATCTCTACAACTTAGCAAGCACAATTAAACTTTGAATACTTCACGTTAGTTATATCCTCTCTGATCTCATAAAGAAAATGCAATCACAGGAATCATGAGTCACTATACTCTTCACCTCCCAGCTCTTTGCAGCAGAAAACACCAGTTTCTGAGATGGAACTGTTTGTAAGAATTTCCTTTTTTTATCTCAGACACAATGATGCCAGCTGTTAGAAGCAGGGTGCAGATGCTCTACTGAAGAAGCATTTAACTAAAGGAGAAGGCAGACCCTTGATCATGCTCCATGTGCAGTAGAAGCAATAGTATTAGTTAGCTGTTTTTCCATCCTACGGAATGGTAACTTGGTCCTGCATTTAAATAATGGTGCAGGACATCTGCCATTAGTATGTGGAAGTGGCTCTTTCTTAGTTGTAACACTTGATAGGTAGTTATTTAAGTTTTAGTTCAGAGTGCGGTTTTCTTTCCCTGCTTAATATCCCTGATGCACTCAGAAGCCACTCTGGCATGTTACACAGTATAAACTACTGAATGCCTCATAGAATCTTAATGGTAGCTGCCAGTTTTACTTTATTTTCTTACTTCTGTGCTTGTGTCTCCCAATTAGAATAGGGGAATTCATGGCTGCCTATTTAACAATGACTCAATTTATCCAGATTTGCATCTACTGACTACACTGATTGGAGGATGCAATATGGATTTTTGTTTTCTCTTTGCTAAGGAAAGATGTTTTACTGATGCTTTTTTGCATGTGTTTTTTTCAGTAGGTTGTTATTTTCAACGTCTACATCTTCGGAGTAGATGGCAGCTGTGCCCTTTAAAGTAAAGCATAAATAGTTTTGATTTGTAGAAGACAGCTAATGGCAAGTTGGAAGAGAAGAGAGAGTTAATAAAACCAATTCAGAAAAAAATTTTAGCATGTGCTTGAAGCTAGGCATGTGCTGTGCTGAACTAGATAGACTTAACCGCATGCTTAAAACTAAATTTGTGCCTTAATATCTTGCTAACTCAGGGATGTAATAAGGAACCTGTAACCTTAGCAGTATTTCCTACTTCTTATTTATATTATTTCTTGGGTGTACTTCTTTGCTGGATCATGGACATGACCTTGTTTTGATATTATATTTCACCAATCTGTAACAGTTTAGTCCCAGCACCCATTCCAACAGCGTACTTAAAACTTCCTCAAACAAATTCCTCTTCAAGGTTTGCTCAGTTTATTAATGTCTAGGATTTCTTCCCTTTTTCTTTCTCTAGTTTGATTATATTGGTTGAGGCAGGGTTTGGGTTTTTTTTCATTCGATCTGGAAGATAAGAAGATCTATGTCTTGAAAGACTAAGATTCAAAAACATAACCATGTTTGAATATGTTTGGGTGCCTCTAATTTATGGATATTGATAGAAGACAGTTGAATATAAATCTTTTAAAGTATATTGTTTTAAAATATTGAATGGTAAAATTAATCCACCATTCATTCCAATCTTATAAATCACCAGAACTAGATTTGCATATGCAACCTTCCTTTCCCCTGCCCTTTTCACATATATATTATAGTAATGATATGCTTTTATCTCAGTGTAATCCCCTGACTCATTCAAACATTAGCAGTTCCAGTCATTGCAGCACCCTTCCCTCACATTAATCTTTTTTCTATACCAAGGTGTGGTTCTTGCCTGCACTGCAGCAAACCCATTTTGTAAACAAACATACAAGTACATTGCCTGATAACTTTCAGAAGCCTGATTCAAATTTTACCTTGGTGCACATCATTTTACCTTGCACATCAGGTTGGATTCTTCTTCTTCCTTGAAAGTGAAAACAGACTGAGCTTTCAGGCTTCCCTCAGCGTTATCTGAAAACCAGAAAACAAAATCAAAGTAAAATGCCTACAAAGCATGAAAATACAGATTAATTTCTTCTGTGCCACGCACACCAGAGGACTTTGATCTTGGAAGAGGCACTGAGATACAGTGCCAGAATCTAACACAGACTATCCCTTTCACGGATGCACTGAGAGGGTTAGTACAGCACAGATGCCATATATCACCACTGAAGAAGCCAGCATAATTCAGGTTGCCAAAAGATACACTGATGTAGACCCCTGTACCAGTAGCAGTTACAAAAAACCTAAAACAAGACTTACATCTACCCTCCCTAACCCAGCCCATTCCTTTGCAGTGCTAAGGGACAAATACCATGGATTAACTTTGATGCCAACACTTCTATAATACCATTGGATTTTGCTGGTTCACGAAAACAGTTTAAGCTTTCCAGCAACCGTCACCAATGTCATGTGAGATGCAAACATCCCCACGGCTAGTTCCTTGAATTTGCAGAGCTGGAGAAAAGGCTGTCCCACTGAAGTGAATGGGAATATGTCCACAGCCCTTAAGAAAGCAAGAGCTTTTATCAGCCTCTTTATAATTGGCCATCCTTCTAATCTTTTTGCATCATTAACCCCTAAATTAAACTAGAATAGAGATGGGGCAGTGAACAACCTCCTTCCAGGCCAGTGCTGAGCACACTTTTCTTATCCTTATGGAAAAGCTTTGCTCTTGAAACACACAGAGTAGCTTCCAGCAACTGAAGTGTCCAGTGCTAATGACACAGGCTAGGGGTTTAATAGGATTAGATTTGGTCTAATAGACACTGAAAAAATTGAGACCCTTCAACCATAGAGGCAGCTGCTGCCTAACAGCAGAATTGCCAAAAATACCTCTGCAGGTAAGTTTGCATCAGTTAAGCTGACCAGATGCATTAAATGCTTGCTGTAAAATATGTCCAAAAATGTCAGTCAGCTCTGCATCTCTTCCTAGTTAGCTGGGGAGAAAGAAAATAACAATGGCAGTAACTTCTTGCCTGAGAAAATTTGAAACAAAGCCTCCAATTTGTAACCAGCAGGCTAGTAGGTATATTAAGGAGAAATTCTGTCTTTTTCTCATTCAAGTTTCTCCAAATTATAGGAAAAATTTCAGTGTTCAAAGAAAGAGCAAGTTGAGGAATATAAGCCAATAATCTATTGGTAATGGTATATCCTTGCCTCCACTCCCAGCTTGAATTAGTATTTAATTTTTGACTCTTCAGTAAAGTAGAGCCTGCAGCACAAGTTTCTTCCATTAGAGTTAAGTCAGCTCTCAAAGTACTGCCTTATGCAGGTGTGTGTGCTCTCAAATTAATAGCAATCAACCTGAGAGCAGAGGCTTCTGGATTTGAACATGAACAAGCACAGAAGGAAGAGGAGCTATCTTCCAGGCAGAACATGAGAGGTAGTGTTTCTAAGAGAGAAGGTAGGAGTGCTGGGATGTGAAGTTTGTGGGAAATGTATTTTAGCATCTGGGTCAATAATTGGCTGTGATTCCATCAGTGAGATGTGTAAAATTAGGTAAAATCAGACCAGGAACCTTCATGACTTAAAAACATAAGCTGTGTTAAAGCATCTTTGAGGGTCTTGCAGCTTTGCTTCCACTGTTCCTAGACTTAAAAAACACATTTGGGCATTCTTTCCCTGTGGTCCTATGTCTTGAGTAACTTAACCAGAAGCGCAGATCAGGGTGAAGAATGTGTTTGTATCTACAGCTAGGAACCAGGACTAACTGTAAAGTTATTAATGTTGAATTGTTTTGCTAATACAAAGTTGATTTCAGGCAACACATAATCCCACTTTTAGAATGTACTGAGTGAATCTGGCTGCTTACCAGGCTTTGCTTCTGTGTTCTGGGAGGGAGGTATATGGTTGCTCTGATTGCCTGAGTAAGTCCAATGCAAAGCCATGCTTCGACAGACAGTGAGTTGAACAGTGCCTTGAGCCTTGCGCAGCAGATCTATAACTGTTTGCCGTGGCAGACCAGACACAAAAGTCTCATTCACCTGAAAAATACAATTATATCTACTTCCAGACTCCTGTAACAGAAAGCCTTGTTTTTCATTGCATATCCCAGCACCGAGCAATCTTTATATAACTTCTTTGTGATTCATGTGTCCTCATGCCCTCCCATTCCAGTAACTCGTTTTACCTCTCCTCTGTACTTCTTTATACCGTGGTTGCTAGCAGTACACCACAAAAGTATACTCTGCATCTCTTCTGAGACGCTATGAGGGCATTGTTTTCCCCACGCTTCAGATGGAAGGTGAAGGAGAGATGAAAGTAAATGAAACATAGAAAAGCACACAAAAACGCTGAAACTTCTGGAGGCCGGAATTAAAAATAATTTGGGGTTTAAAAAAATATATGTTATATTAAAATGTGGTTAAGATAGTAAGATTTAAAATAAAGATTCAAAAGCTCTAATTCCAGTGCTTTTTGCTTGCCTTGATAATACCTAACTGGTACTGATGATAGGTTACTCCCAATATCCTCCTGGTTGGCTGTTACATGCACACTTGGTCAGTTAACTCTTGTTTCCGTGATTTTTTTTCATGTGTAATCCTCACTGGGCACAGTTGCACTATGGAGTAGTTGCACTTTGCTGCTTGCCCTGCTATACTGGGTCTGCTTCTCTGTTGGAGTGCCCAACAGCCACCTCTGGCTGTCGAGAGGCCCAGTCCCACAGGAAGCTGAACCTCTAGACAAGGAGTGAGGGGGATCCAGGACAGTCCCCTGACCTCCAGGAACTGAGTGACACCATCTTCAGATCTGCAGTCTGCACAACCTTTACACTGAACAGAATGTTTATTGTAGAGTAATTGGAGGAAATGTAGGCCAAAACAATGGAGAAGCAGCATTACCTTAAGTAGGATGTCACCAACTTGAAGCCTTCCATCTAGGTCTGCAATGCTGTCCGGGCTGATGGCTTTTATTAGGATAGCCCTGCCATTTCTTCCACCTACTAGTGCGAATCCTAGGCTTCCATTTTCTGCTTTTTCCAGTTCAATCTTAATAATGAAGTCCTACAATAGAAAAGGATGCAGCATAAAGTGGAGTTTATTCAGGGCTGTGGGTTGTTCGCATTTTTAATACAAAAGAATCCCCTTATGCTTCACAGTCATCGTGGCTAATGTAGAACAGGTGTAATAGAATATTATATACAATAGGAAAACTTATTTTCTTGAATAGGTGTATAGAGCCTCCAGTGATTAATATAGCAGCTGCATGTATGTATCAGAATGAAAATAGTATATACTTATTTCTATAATATTTTTAAATAATTGCTAGAGGAGAAAATAACCTCTTAAGATCAAGGAAACAGGTACTTTTGTAATTCTTTTATAGCATATCAAATACATCACCTTCACTGATAACTAAGTCATTCTTATCTCCAGCATGACAGTAATGCAGTACATACTTCATTCTTTTGTTCTATAATGAAAATCTTGCAACCCACCATATCCATCTGTTTGGCTTTGGCACTTCATTCAGTATTAAAATCAGCTTTTTTAGGGTCAAGTATTATGTCAGAAATAGCAGCAACCTAGAAATTTTTATGACTTGCAGCCTGACTAGTTCCAGTGTTGCAAATATCATCCTCAGAAATTATTTTAGCAAGTTGAACAGATAAGCCATCATGGATTAAATGGTGTGGAAGAAGCAGTAATAGCGATGACTTAAAAGTGAGAAAATTGTTCCCATTTTTCTGCCAGGTTGGAGGTCTAATTTCATCAGAGAGCACCCTCTTTTTGCAAACGACAATCAAGAGAAAACTATTGAATCTATTTCTATGAAATACAAATCTCAATGTGGGCAATTTCAGTTTCACGCAACGTTATTTTCCACGTGTTCGCACAACAGAAGTGATGTTTGTGCTCGTAAGAATTTTGAAGTATTGCATGTTGAGCATGGGAATTACTTCTGTTTTCAAAGAACACACCTGTGAATTCATCATTTCAAAAAGGGCATTGTTCTTTCCAAATTCAAACCTTTATGGTTATGTCAGTGCTCCATAATACTCCAAAGGTTTGCAGTCATTTTACCCTCTTTTCAAATGCCCCATCTGAGGATTTCAGAATGAAATGTACTAATCTTAGGTTTCAAAGATTGTTGTGAAAAATCCTTCACAATTACAGTTACACTTATTTGCCCCAGAGTTCCATGCTGTGACATTCCATATCCTTTTCCTGTGCTACCTTCTTTCTAAGCTAAGGATGAATCTTCTAAGCTGCTAAGAATACTATAAAGACCTAATTGAGGGGCTATGTCGTATGAGTTGTGTTTATATTCCCAAAATAGTGATATTTTACATTGAAAAACAGCAATAGAAGAATCTGCCCCAGGAAGTGCTCAGCCCATGTCCATGAATGCTGAAGCAATCCAGCACTTCACAGGATACTTTCCAAATACATTACATTCATATTTTCAAAGAAACTGGAGAGGAAGCAAATACAGTAAATACCAATATTGAAAAAGATCTCACTCCATGCAGCTTACTTCACTTGATGGACTCTCACACCTGATGAAGTTGCCACTTACCTTACATTCTGGAAAATCAGGAGTGTTTTCCTGAGCACCACAGTTTGTTTCCTCCAAATGTTTCTCTGTGAAAAAGCAGACAAAAATTTTTACACAGTTGTACTGGTAAAATGTTGTATAGTGTAGCATAAACTTAAAATCATACTCAGAAACATAAAAGACATTTTATATTTGACATGTAAAACACACACACACACAAAAATCCTGTGGACTTATATGGGCTTACACTCCTGAACAATGAACTGAGCCTTCTGTTCAATATCCCTGTAGACTTTTTACCTCCCAGGGAGCAGGTTCCAAAACAAGCTTTAAAAGCTGCATGCTATGGGGTCAGAGACACCAGATGGACAACAGGTAATGAATAAATGTTTTCTGCAACTCTGAAGGAGGCAGTTTTGTTTATGAAGAATTAATCTTTCCCAGGTGCTGCCAGTACCACCTACAGATTTATTTTCTTTCAAGGAGAGGGCCCAAAATTTCACAAACCTTAATGGAAAATGCTGAGTTCCTTACCATGTTGATGGAGCAGATGCTGTTCTTGGGAATTCAGGTTTTCATCTGAGAAAGAAATATTTGATTTCTCTGTCTCAGCAGGTAGCCCTAAAAGCACACATGGAAGTTTGTTCTGACAGGCCTCCTGCTAACCTTCATATACACAAGGGAACGTAAACTCTGTGCTTAGATTATTAAACAAAGCATAAATATGCAATATTGATACTATATGAAGCAGTTTGAGACACTTACTACTGCATTATTGAGTTTGCCAGTTTGCAGAGTGATATAAACAATTCTGTCATGAATTGCATAGATATTTCATCACCAACGATCAGAGATCAGACTGAGTCATTCTAGACATGTGGCAATGATCAGGCAGAGGAAGAAGCAGGATGTGTTAGTGTCTGCAGAGATGGATATGTAAGCAGACAGTGTGCATTTCTTGACACTGCCACCTCCACCCACCCACCCACCTCTGGTTTTGGGGTTTTGCTCTATCATATCTTGATGTTCTTAATTGACTTCCACAAAGTGCTCTTAATATATGGATTATAGAAAACGGTAAGGTCTGTTGTTAAAAAAGCACCCTGTGCTATTTGCAATTTTAGTAGCATTTTTGTGACTAAAAGAGTCTATAAAAAAATGAAGGTTTGCTTCCTTAATAGAAAATTATTCTAGATTTATCTATAAATCTATCAGAGAGAATAGAAAACAGAACACCAAATACCAAATTACCATAGATTTTTTAAATGCCTTATAAAAGGAATGAATCTTGTTTTATAAGAGAGGCAGGTAGATCCGATCTGATAATCTATTTTGAAGGTGTCTTGAGAAATCTTGGAATCTGCAAAGCTCACGGAGCAAGGATGTGTAAGCAAAGTGGTACCAGAATATGCATTGGTTGTGCTTTAGTTATACCACAGTCACTGAGAGTACATATAACTTACATCTGTGTCTTGTAATTAATTCAAAGCAGCTTGTTCTTCAGTAGGTGAAATAAGCTGCTTCAGTTTATAAAAACAAACACATGGCTGATAGTTGTAGAGTAGGAAATCTGTAAGTAGCTTGACTTGGAATCATTTCTTCAAGTAGCCATATGCCAGTATTCAGGTAAGTGTAGGCATATGCGCCATTCTGGTTAAACGGTTACTTTTTCTAGGTCATCTTTTCATGATTAATAAAAATCAAGATATCCAGTCAGGTAAGGTAAATGGTGGGTTAGGCTTCACTTAACATGCATGCAAATGTACTCTGGAAAGTATTACTTGCATAGCTAACACAGTTTCTATGCAGTGATGTAGACACGATACCTGTCCTCCTTCACCTCTGCTTGCTGAGACTCCCTCTACTGCTAGAGCAGTTCTGGTCAAGTCTTTGTAGTGCAGATGATTACTGAAGTTTTGTAGTATTAAATACTGTCTCCTGATAGGAATGTTCTTATATTAACTTAAGGGATATTGGTGCTATCTGTTTCTGAATTTCTGTAGATCTATTGATAACAGTTTAAAAAGTTGGTCTAGATGATGAAGCTGTGGCTCATATTAAACTGTGGCTCAAAAAGTGCTGGAAAACACCTTAGAGAATAGTTTCAATCAAAACAGATGCTGAAATACGAGCATGTGAAATTCCCATTTATTAGCAAATTAAAAAAATATAAATTGACTATGCAAAATGCAAGAAATTGTTTTTTACAGATAACTATACAATTTATTTATATCCTTAAAGAACGACCAAATTTCCTGCAGACCCTTAGAATGGCCATAACAGAAATACTGAATGCCAAGTTACAATCTGTTAATAATTTTAAAAATGCAATGAATTAATACCTTATGCTCATTTCCAAAATCAGAAGCAAGTTTTGAACTAAAAAACCCAAAAAAGATTAGCCTTACTTACTATTTTCCTGCTCTATAGGAACCACTGGATTGCCATTTCTGGGGACAGAAAAAGTGAAACGTGAGCCATTAAGAGCTGCATGCTTTGTAAAGCACATGTGAAAATTGTTTTTAGAAAGTCAGTTGTCTAAATTGTAGTTGCACTTCTATGACTTTGTTAATGGTGCTTTCCTAAAGAGCATTTATATCAATGTATAAAATATTTGCCTGTATTTAACAACAGTGAAACATTTTATTTGAGGGAAATAAAGAACATGTTAAAACGTCTGTCCCAATACAGAAATGCTTTGTGGTACATTTTGAATTCACTTTTGGCTCCTCCCTATAAAGTAAGAATGATTTTTTTGTGATTTCCTTTACGCTATTTCTCTTTATCTCCTTAGACTGTAATTCTTATGATCAGGGTGTGTTGCCTCCTAAGTGCTTGTATGGCAAGAAGTATAATGAGGCTGCAGTTTCTTCATTTGCTAGCCCAGTGCAAGTCAGTAAAGCACTGGTAAGAGTTTGAACGGCATTAAGACAGCTGTGACAGACACACCATTGCTAACTCTGGTTAAGTAACTTAGTCATTCGCATACTTTTGGATTGCTATTTGACTGTCCTTCTGAGATCTGTGGAAGCTATTTCTGTACCAGACCAGGACCTCTGCTGATGCTTTGTCAGATGGTAGAACACAATAAATCTAAAATGCAGCCACGAACACATGGGGGATGTTCTTAACTTGCCACAGATTAAATGCCCCATTTTAAACACCTTTTTAAAACACTTAGCTGTTGGAAGTAAATAATAATTTTCCATCAGAGGTAGTTTCTTGCCTGTAGTTGTGAATCTGAGAATGTATGGAGAAGGCTGGCACTGGTGTTGGAAGTAAAAAGAAGATTTTCCCTGGAGAACAGGATGACTGAGAATGGTGGCCAGCCTCACAGTTAAAGGATGTAGATTTCTGTTTGAATAGTGAGGTTTGAAGAGCTCTCATTTGTGTTGTTCGTGTCTACACGTATTCACTGTGTTAGTGGTAATTGCAAGGAGTTAAGGTATCTTATGGATGTCATCTATCAGGTTGCAACCTTCAGAACTTTGAGGTAAAGCATTTTTCTTGTAATTTGTCTTGGTTTTATTATTTGACTTGTTGATGTAAAATTTAGAAACCTGCCTTAACAGTAGGATTGAGAATGGGTACGCTCAGATTTACCTTGTCAACTCAGATTTACCTTGTGGCTTTGATTTGGACATTCTGGGTGGCAGCTTCACACACTCTCACTGCATCATCCAGGCTAATGCCCTCAGTCCACAGTCCACAGATGTAAACAATCTGATCTCGTGGCTGCAAACTGCCTTCCACACTGGCAGGAGAGCCAGGCACTATCTCTAGCACATAAATACCTTGTAACTTGCTTCCAGCTCCTCCTGTCAGCTTCAAGCCTAGAATAATGCAGAGAAAGCATCTTTTGTGGCAGCGTGCTTTGATTTTTACTGTGATTGACATATAGCCTAATGGAATAGATGCGGGTCATGGAAAGATAGGCTTAACAAATCACCAACATTACAAACAACAGTCTTGCCCCAGTGGGACAGGGTATAAGAGCTGGACTGCGAGAGTGAAATGCAATTAGATGTTAAAAAAGTATGGAAAATAATTTAAATTGTATCATCCATCTCTATGCTTCAGCTATTCCACAGAGATCTATTTCTCGTGATGTTGAACAGCCATTTGAATAAGACACTTAGCTGCATAGCGGTAACTCCCTCGTTACCAGAGTGTTTAAGTGCCTTGGAATCTTTAGAGTGACATAGGGAATGGAGGCATATGACAACTAAGGAGATATCTACACAGTGCAAAACAGAATCATGTAACAATATTCAAGCAATATCCAAACAAGCTAGTTTCTGAACTGGAAGTAGGATGTTGGAACTGAACAAATATAGCTATGCTGTTTCCTGGGGTCTACAGGTTTATCTGTGTGTAGTACTCGCCACATTCTGCAGAAATACCAAGATACTCACACTGTGGGGATTTCTTTTACCCATTATATTGCACAATGTAGATAAAGCCTTTTGTCTGCGGTGAATCAAGGATTTGAGTGGAGGTTTTCTGAACAGCCAACGATTGACCTAACCAGTGGCTCATCCTTCTTTGTTGTTTGTTGGTTTGGGTTTTTTTTACTTTTTATTTTTTCCTTTCCCTCCAAACAGATCTTTATATGTCTCAGCAGATATATGTTAATATCTAACTACCATCAACTTCTGTATATCAGTATCATGAAAATATCAGATTGGACATCTGCCAGAAACTTCAGCTGATAGAGTGATAGTACAAAGATAATTTTTCCCAACAATCTTCATCAGTCTAATAAAGATATATTAGTCTTCCCTTTAAGGCCTGGACCAGAATAAAGGTCTCCCTTCAGGTTAGAGATAAGGAGGAAGTTCTTTACTGAGAGGGTTGTCAGAAGCTGGAACAGGCTGCCCAGGGAGGTGGTGGAGTCACCATCCCTGGATGTGTTTAAAGAGCAGGTAGATGAGGTACTTAAGGATATGGTTTAGTGGGTAGACAGGAACAGTTGGACATGATGATCTCAGAGGGCTTTTCCAACTGAGTGATTCTGTGATTTTGTGATTCCTTAGTCGTGGGTGATGGAGGAGAGCATAAAGGTGTCAAGGTCACTCAGGATCATATTGATCCAAGACCACAGTTGCTTATGGTTATCTTACAATTACTGTAATCCCTGTCCAAAATAGTATCCGTAGTATTTACTACACACCTAGTTGTCCATTGGCACCTTTTGTGAGAGTAATTTCAGGAATCTCATCTGGCCTAATAGAGGGACACGGATCACTGTCAGCACGACCAACCACAAGGTGCAGATCAGGAGGAGAGCTTTGCAGTAAAGTCAGGACCTCATTGCACGGCAAAGATGTGACATCAATTCCATTCACCTAAATGACAAACCAATAAAATTATGTCATAAATCTCACTGAGCATCAGGTACTTCTCCCTCCACTCTAAATTTTGCATATGAACTTAAATGAGTTTTCTCTTTTATGTTACTGCTTTTCTGTGGTATTTCATGTCAGTGAATGCAACAGTTAAGATTGCAGTAAGATTTCTTTTTTTGATCTTTTATTTTTCTGAATGCGGAGTTTTTATAAAAATAGCTCTGTTTTCTTGAAACTCAAGGTCTTGTAGCAAAAACCAAGGAAGCCAGCCTAATGCAGTAATTGAAGATGAACCATGCTGAAAATAGGCTTATTCATATGTTACAAAGGACGTAACTCCTGCATCCTTTGTATGTCATCTATCTTATCACATTAATTAACTTTATGTCATTTAATTGGGAAGGCATTTAATGTCTCAGTTGTCTTTCATTGCTGCTAGATGATACATGTTATTTGCCTGGTCATACAGTCTATCCGATCTGAAATTTGTTCTACTGAAGCCAGCAGAATTGCATTTAATATATGATTGATTTGCGCTTGCATGCCTAAATATGTGATAAACTGGACCCCACGGAAAGAAAAATACTGAAGCTAAATGCCGCTGATCTGCAAATACTCTCTCTTCTGTATAAAGTCAAAAGCTTACTGTACCATAATGATTCTGTCTCCCCTTCTTAGTCTTCCATCAGACAGTGCAGGGTCATTCAAGATTTCATCAACATACAGGCAGTTGTCCACTTTGTTAAAAACTACAGAGAATCCATAACCATTGTTCCCGTACTTTGTCAAAGTCACAAAGATCTCCATTTCCTATTAAAATAAGCACAAGATACATTTCATGTAGGCTTTTCTGTTGCTTTATTAACATGTTCCAGTATGTTTTATATACAGATAGAAAACAGTTCCTTAGATGGTATAAATAAGAGCATACATAAGCGTTTCTCTGATCTGTCACTGCCTCATGCCACAGTTAATTTTACTTCTTTTTACCTAGTGGAGCTTCATGGTGATTGACTGATAGGGCCTAATAAGGGAGAGAATGCCACTGGAGACTGGAATTTCGGTATTTGAAATGTGTAAAGAAAAACTTGGAGTCCTTTGAGCTGACAAGGATTGCAATAGTAGGGTCCAGAGATTATTCTTTCAGCTATTGCTGTCTCACTGAAGGAAATGGCTGGGCTTCAGTTTTGTCCTCAGTGTTCTCAAATTAGTAAGAATTCAGAGCTCATTAGTATCAGCAGTAATGCAAGATGTTCAGCATTTGGCAGGACTGAGCCCTGTATTTTGATGAGTAATTAGCACAAGGATCATACTTGCTTATCAGCGCATTACAGTAGTATCACTATAACAAAGTGATTTTCCACATGTGTTTAAAACACGACAGAAAAAACCTAAGTAGCTGACTCTAATTAATTTTAGAGGTTACTAGAGGGCTTTTAGGCCTTTGTACACAGGGAGTAATACTGCAGAATGCTGGAAATTTGACGAAATAGTAAGTTGACAAGAGCAAGGAGATGGCCTTAAGGAAAACAGTAAAGAATTCTGGACAGCTGGGAAAAAAGGAAGGTCTGCTTTGCTTGAAAATTGTGGACATTCAGGAAAGTAAAAAAAAAAAAAAAAAGCCATGCAGAAATAGCATAGATAATGAGTTAAAATTAATGTTTAAGTACGCTGTGTTCTTAAAGTTGTTTCTTTTCATATTCTACCTGTTCATAATCTGGTGCTTATCACATACCCTAGTACAATCTTCCTTTTCTTCCTTCTCTTCCTCTAGTTCGTCCAAGTCTTCCCATTCCTTGTCACTGTCATGTGTCTCTCTAGCGGGCAGGGATGAGGAGAAAGGACCACAAACACGTGGCTGTGGGGTCACCATGGTTGAGGAGAGTGTCTCGGAGCTTCCTCCCCGTGAAAGTGAAGTCACAGACGTTGAGCTGATAGTGAGATACTCTTCATCAATAGGGGTTAGAGAGAGAGTTTCAGGCATACATTTTGTGTTCGATAGGTCATCATCACGCTTATTAAATATGTGGCTGGAAAATAAAAAGATTGCAGTGCTGGGGTTTTCCTCCATGTGCTTTATTAGATGGCCACTGAAAAGGCTACTGCTTATACACGACCTTATTTTAATTTTTACTGAAGTACTGGTTATGGTATTAAATTGCTGTCTGGGTCCTCCAGTGTTACTATAAGAATAAATAAGTAGTCAATATTTTTCAAAGATAGTTAAAAGATTAAAAAGCCTTCAGAATTTAAAAACAGCCTGCAAAATCTTGCGCTCCTTTTTTAGAGCATTAATTAGTGCTTTGGTTGCTTCTTGAAAAGAATAATGGGACAATTCCTAGACCATTAATTATTTCATCTGCCATAAACAACTTAATTAACTTATCTGGGAAGTTGTATGCATATTACAATACTACTAGAATTTTCATATTTGCTTTCTTTCTTGAAAATAAAATGCCAGCCACATCCCTGGCTCCTACAGATCTTTCCTTGCTAACTAAAGCACAGACCAGAAACATGAAATACAAAATTATTCCCATCTCTCCATCAAAAATACAAGTCCTGACTTCTCTTCGTAAGCCTGTTTTTATTCTTATGCTTGCCTTGAAGCACAAGAGTTGTCCTACGGAAATCAATAGATTTGTTCGATTACTTGAATTAAAATTATTATTTCTTTTATTCCACTATATTGGAGACACAGTATTGAGCGCTTTTAATGTTCAGGCCTGAACTGTAATCGTATGTGTTGTATTTAAGATAGTTTTGGATGTTGTCATTAATGAACTCTGACAGACTACTATAGCATTGTCTCCCATGAAATTTACCATTAAAGCTAATAGAAATGCTTGGTAACACATTTTTTAAAAGCATGTGTTTTCATCATATCAATCTTTATTGAAATATTGCTAACCTCATTCATCTTAGAAACACTTAAAATGGCATAGCTTTTCTTAATGCTTCACACAGCAAAGACACCATGCCATTTCACATATAACAGTTACCTGGGATCTTTACTTTCTGGTAGAACTGAACTATGTCTGCCATCTACCAAGCAAACACACACAACTGGAAGGAACACAAATTGTGCGTCTTGTGTGAAATCATAAAAGATCCCCAGTGTTAAGCTCTTGTTTTAGAAGTTATCTATAGTCAGAAGGAAAGTGTGAAGCAATGTAGCAAAAGAGGCATTTTGGCTGGATATGGCTAGTAATCTTTGGTGGTATTTTTGAAATACTGATGAAAATAAGAAAAACTGATGTGCTCATGCTGGATGCCCTTGGTGAGGGAAGCAAATCTAGTCTGTTAGCTTATATGTGAGGAGGGAGGAAATGAGAGACTGACCATCTCCAGTAAGCACAGCAAAGCTGAAAAGGAAGCTGACTGTGCACTAGTAGCTAGACAGCAGGTACCTACAATACCGTGGAAAAAGACTGTGATAATTAAAAGAAATGTTTAAGGGTAACAGCAAATGCAGTCTGCTACTTTCTTTTGGAGAAAGGAAATAGGAAGTTCAATGAATGCTGGAAAATGTGAGTGTCACAGAAGCAGTCACATGCTAGTGGAGTGCTGACTGATCTTCAAAGCGTATGAATGATGTTCAGCAGAGCTACACAAGCTCAAGGCAATGAGCCAGAAGCGGCTTAATCATAGCACAGCTTCTATCCCATCTCTACATCACCATTGTTTCATCTGCCATAAACAACTTAATTAACTTATCTGGGAAGTAGTATGCATATTACAATACCACTAGAATTTTCATATTTGCTTTTTTTCTTGAAAATACAATGCCAGCCACATTCCTGGCTCCTACAGATCTTTCCTTGCTAACTAAAGCAAGGAGTCTTGGTCCTGCAAGCCCATACATGAGCTCCACTGACTCAGTCGACTTGCTTTTGGAGTCTTGTGACCCTTACACTTGGACTTCACAGGGGAAAACTATGGATTAAAGTTTTTCAAAGATTCTTATTAGTGGCAGTGAGAAGAAGAGTGAAAGAAATTTGCCATGTGAAACCCTGAGCAGAAAACTTTTAAAATTCGTATCAGATGATTTCTACATTAGCATGAAAAGTTTTGAGCAATCTTCATTAATCAAAAGGAATTCCTCTATTAATGCCTTTGTCCTTCTGGGTTGTTGGTTTTTTTTTAAGTTTTCAGCTGGGAGGATCATTTAAACTGAGATCACATTTCAAACATTGTTTAAAATGCATGCTGTCTTAAACTGCTCTGGCTGCCTTTTGAAAATGCAAAAGCTGAAACTAAATGATACTAAGAATGTACCAAACAAAAACATTTATTTCAGAACTTCCTTCTTGGGAAGAATCCAAAACATTTCTTGGAACTGATATTTTCCCACAAGAAACTTAGTTTTGTTGAAACTGTATCTCTTGGCAAATGTGTTTGCTACAGACGTGTTTCTGCTGGTTTTATTCTCAGAGTTCAGAAGCATAGATGTAAGCAGGAGCTTCGCTCATAAATGTGAGTGAAGCTTCTGCCCCCAAGAGAGGGGAGCTAAAAGTATGCATTGCCATTATGGTCCCACTTCACTTGCAGTCAGTTATCGGTGTGGCTCGCCAGTGACTGTGTCTGGTTCTGTGCTTGATGAACGTCAAGAGTAACAAAAGAATTTCAAGTGACTTTGTGGAGAAATAGAAATGAGTTTCTAGATAAAAATCCTAAAGCTGTAAGATTACTAAAGCTTGTATTTTCACTAATCCTTTCTGTTCTGATAATTTATGTTCTTTTGCACTGGGAAAAATGATTAAAATGGAATGGATGTGTGCTGTGTGCCAGTGTCTGGTATATCCAAAAGAGTGTAAAAGGAGGCTGAGTCCATTTGCACTGTATTTTATTGTATAACTCCTCTGGTGGTTCAGTGCTTCTATTGGCTTCTGAAGACTGGAAAATAACTTTTTTTTTTTTCCTCCTTGATCACAGTTTGTCTTCTGAGCTTTTTTTATTTTCTCTGAAAAAATTTGAAATTAAAAGATCATACAATAAGAAAGAAATTTTTGGTGCCTATTTAAGTCAACTCTGAGAAAATTGAAATTAAAAGATCATATAAGAAAGACTTTGATTCCTATTTAAGTCAACAAGAGTCTTTCAACTGATTTCAAACTGCAGCCAGCTTCAGCTGAGCAGCATAAGTGATTACAGTAGCGCAGCACTCGTACAACTGTCTTGCAATGCAGACTTACACAAAATTCTAATAAGATGAGAGTAAATAGAGACAGCAGATTAGGATAGTCAGAATAAGATGGTAAAACAAAATTTTCAGTCATCAGCAGTGTTTAGAAGCTGATAGCCCTGTACTTAAACTTAAGCCATTCACTTTCAAAATTCTAGGTGCCAAAGGAAAGGCTGCAGAGCAGATTTCAGTATTCCTTACCTTTTGGCCCATCCAAATTCACATGGTGAGTAGCACTTCTGCTTCACTTCTTCCTCTAGGGAATGGAAGACCTCAGAGCTGGCAGCTTCTTGATGAAACTTCCAAAGATACTTATAGAAACTTTCCCTGGAAGTCATAAGTTTCTGTATGGGCTTCTCCTGAAACTCAGCTTCCTGCTCTTCATATGTTGAGCTGTCCTCTTCAGGAGGCTCACTGAAATCTGCTGCCACTGGAGAATCCAGGCAGTCTTCAAGATCTGGAGAAGTGCTACCTCCATCACTGGTAGACTGATCCATACTCTTTCCTACCTCTGTACTGCCTGGAATTTCTGCCACAAACTCCTTAATTGGAGATGGAGCTGGAGTCTATCAAAAAACAGAAAGGTTAGTGTGACTCCTTTTTTATTGCCCACATTCTTTCTTTTTAGAACAAAGTAATTTGAAGAGGCAATATCAATAGGCATCTGAATGTGAAAATACCAAATAGTAGCTGGAAGGGAGAGTAAAAGATACAGGGAGGTACCTCTCACTAAATAACAGCTTTGTCTTTATGCTTATCTTCCACACTATTCAGTAGCTGCAGCTGGAGAACTGCTTCACAAGTTCACACTTCCCGATGAATTATTTGCTAGAAGTGATCCCTTTTTATTTCTTTTCATATCATGCCTCAACTTTGTGTCTATATTCTCTTCATCGTGTAAAAGTGGCTTTCAGGTTTGACTCCAGTGTGACTAACCATAGAAATCCGCCAAGGACACATTGCAAGACAAGAACAGGAGTCAGTTTGTTATCTGGATATGGTCCTGACCGTCATTTCTGTCTGCCTGTGAACAGCGTTTATATATCCTGATGTCATGGAAAAAATGAGTGCTCCAATCTGCATGGAGCAAGAGTAATGCAAATGCATGTTCATTATAAGAGTACTTGTGTATGTCTCCATGAGTTGTGTTCAAGAAGCAGCAATAATAGTGCTAGCACACCTAAAGGCACTGTTTTAGTCTCTGCAGTCTCTATTATTTGATGAGATTTTTTTCCCCTGCAGATTCTGCTAACTATCAATATAGAATCATAGAATCATAGAATGGTTTGGGTTGGAAGAGATCTTAAAGATCAACTAGTCACAAAGGTGAATAACCATTTGAAACCATTATTTCGTTTATTTAAGTTTATTAAGAGGTAGCCTGGATAGGAAAAGTTCTTTATTTTCCTCTTGCTTTTGGGAGTAATATAACTACCTCAAGCCCACGAGTTATAAAGCAGTTTCTCACTGAGGATCTAGTAAAGCATTTTTAGAAGCATCACTAGGAGATCTGTTTGGGTATGTGCTGCTTTATTCCAATGACAGTACTGCAGTTCAGAAGTTGTTGGACTGGTATAAAGATGGTTCACATCTGTCAGATTTCTATTATTTTGATTGCTATGGAAGAATAAAGTTGAACTATAAAAGTTGACTTGAAGATGTGCATGGGAAGAAATGGAATAGAGAGCCTTGGAGAAAAGGGAAGGTTGGTTTGTTCAGGACTGGATAGAAAATGCAGTAGTGTTTTTCCAGGTTTACAGAAGCAAGTTTATCGACAGAAGCTTTGCCTTACCAGGGCACTCTGCTCTATTTCTGGAAGAACGCCTTTTGGTGGTCTGCAAAGCAGCAGTGTGACTTCTGGAGGAGCTCCTCTCAACAAGTGCAGAACATCCTAAGCAGGAAGAAGGAAATTTAGATTTCTTATGGAATACATTCTATAGTACTTATCATTTTACTGACTGGGATGAAGACAATTTTTATTGCAAATGCCAAGTTTCTAGTATTTGTCCCTTTCAGTAGACTCTGGGGTCCAAAATTAACTACTGTACGATTGTCATACTAGTGGACCATAGTTTTTATTTGAATGTGTATCTAAAGTCAAGTCAGTTCTGTTTACAAGCTCTTGTTCCACCGACAGACACATAGGTTTAATTTAATTATTTTTCTATTATTGAAGAAAACAGGATTTTCAGACGTATTTATTCAGACTGCATGTGGCGGGGACACATCTTCAGTCGATTATATCAGCACAGCTCCACAGACTGCCATGCTGACATAATCAATGGGAGATTTTCTCACAGCCCCTCCTTGACATAACATCTATTCAGTGGCTTTCAGCGGCTTTCAGCTGCAGTGGGAGTTGGAATACTTAATCTGGGAGTGGGGAGGTGAATGCTGTACGCCAAAACACCCTGTCTGCCCTCTGCACAAATGGACTAAAAAGGCTGTAGGTCAGCAAGACAGTGCTGGAAAAGTGCAGACTCCAGGTCAGGGGAACAAAAAACCCCCAAACTAGTACAGTTACAGCACACACACCTTCCCCCCACCTCTCCATGTGTCTAAGACTTACGGCACCTTGTCTTTTGCCCTAGCTTTTTATGATACAAATGACCTGTCAGTGGGAAAATTGCATTATTTCATCATTTCTATTTGTTACCAATTTTATCTATTCAGTATTTATTCATATGCAAAACTCAGGGATTTTTCATAAGGTGAAAAGTGTATGTTAAAAAAATAAATCCACATGTAGTCCTTTTTAACCATTTGATTTCTTCATGTGAGTATAGAATTTCTCATTCTATTCTATTCTCTGTAAAAAAGTTACACTGACATTACAAAGCACAAATGACCACAGGGAAAAATTGCTCTGATTATGTATAGCAGCAACAAAGATGCCAACTAATTAACAACTCGTGTGCATATAACAATAGATATAGTAGTAGAGAGTTATAAATCAACTAGTGGAAGAAATTATCTGTCAGAATTCTGTTAGGAGGAAAATTATCAATAAGAATTCTAGAGAAGAATCCTACTTACAAATCAGATTCATTACGTGCAAATTTTGACTCACTCTGGTGATAATTATGTTTAAATGCAGTTTCATCCCATTATCTTTACGTTACCCATCTGAAGTCCTAGTGATAGTACTGCCTGGTACCTGATACAAGAGTCCTTGAACAGGCTTCCCATTCACAGCTAAAATGATGTCTCCGACTTCAATTTCACCATTCTCTTCAGCTGGCTGCCCTGGAAAGAGTCTCTTGATCCTGACAATAGTTCCTCCGAGGTGTTCACAAGCATCTCCTTCTGTTTGCAGAACACTAAAGCCAAGTCCTCCAGAATTCTTTGTCAATTTGACTTCAAATGTATTATCTGTTCAAAGCAGGAATTGCAAAAAGAGTGGGAGCTGTGGCATATGTACTCCCTAGGGAGCAGATGTAAATTATACCTTCAGCAGACCTTTTCCACATGTGCTGCAGAGGCAGATCTTCTGATACAAATGGAAAAGAAGGGTTTGGTGCTTATTTAACTTATGCAAGTCCTTGAAATTGCACAGGCAGAATGGGGAGAACTGGATTCTATCCTACTGCTTTTTCACAGACTTTATGCCATCCGGTACAAGCTCATAAAGGAAAATGCCTTCTGTACCAACATAAAAACTTTCAAATGCTATCCTTTTCTGACATTCTTAGAATCATAGAATGTTTGGGGTTGGAAGGGACCTTTAAAGGTCATCTAGTCCAACCCCCCTGCAGTAAGCAGGGACATCTTTAACTAGATCAGGTTGCTCAGAGCCCCATCAAGCCTGACCTTGAATATCTCCAGGGATGGGGCCTCCACCACCACTCTGGGCAACCTGTGCCAGTGATCTACCACCCTCATGTTGAAGAACTTTTTCCTAATATCCAACCTAAATCTACTCTTTTCTAGTTTAAAACCATTACCCCTCGTCCTATCGCTACATGCCCTAGCGAAGCTCTTCCCCAGTTTTCCTATAGGCACCTTTCAGTCATTGGAAGGTTGCTATAAGGTCCCCCTGGAGCCTTTTCTTCTCGAGGCTGAACAACCCCAACTATCTCAGCCCATCTTCGTAGGAGAGGTGCTCCAGCCCTTGGAACATCTTTGTGGCCCTCCTCTGGACACTCCAGCACTTCAGTGTCCTTTTTGTGTTGGGGACACTAAAGCTGGACACAGTACTCCAGGTGAGGCCTCACCAGAGCAAAGTAGAGGGGCAGAATCACCTCCCTCGATCTGCTGACCACGCTTCTTTTGATGCAGCCCAGGATGTGGTTGGCCTTCTGGGCTGTAGCTGCACATTGGCGGCTTATGTCCAGCTTTTCATCTACTAGTACCCCCAAGTCCTTTTCCTCAGGGCAGCTTTCCAGCACGTCATCTCCTAGCTGTTGGGTAGATCTTACTGTTCTGTAGCTGCCTGATGTTAGTTTGGGTCCTGCACTAGCCCGCATAAGCTAGAATCAGAGCTACTGATCTTTCCAGACAAGAACAAGAGACTAGCCCTTTCCCAAATACCATACTTCCAGCTGACCCCCATTCTGCTAGGGATGTTGTAAAGGAGTAACTGCCTCATGGGAAAGTGTGATTCAGACTTAGTGTTTATGAGACAGCCTTACAGTAAAATATAACATTTATTTGTTGGCTAAATTTAGTGAAAGTGCCCTTCTGCTTTTAAGAAAAGAAGTGATGGCAGTCTCCAGTCCTGGCCCTGGGGCAGCAGTTCACCCTAGCTTTATCACTGACACAGCATCAGCGGTTGTGCTGGCACTGCTGTTTTTGGGTAACAGACTGGCAACAGCAGCACAGCTGCTTCCTGCCTGAGAGTGCTGTACAGACAGGGACGTCCCCTGGCAGCCCTGTCTCACGAAGGCTGAGAGATGCAGTATTTATGTCTAGAATAAATTCTAGCAACTGGAACTATAAGTGCATCAGAAATATTTTTTTCTGAATTGATTTTTGATAATGCCATTAATAATGCACATGATATTTCATTCAGTATGCAGTTTTCAGCACGGCAACGTCATAGAATTATTTTCATTCATTTCTTTCTTGCACTTTGTAAGAAGTCACCCTGAGTTCCTTTTTTGTCACTCACCATCTGTCAAAACACAGCAGTCCTTGGTACCATCTGTGAAGGATGTTGCCACAGAAACAACTGCACATTGGTCCTCCTTTCTGTTAGCAGTCACGCATGGCTCTGCCAATTGGTAGTTTCCCCTTTCTAGAACCAGCTTAGCAATCTAAAACAGTAATGAACAGGTTCCAGTGAGATAGTACACAGTGAGCCCTAAGTCTTTTTACTTTTCTTTATAGGAAAATGGGGTTGGATGGAGGAGTGGAGAGGTGGAGTTCCTTTTGGCCCAGCTTTGCTACTGTGCTTCATATTAAGTGCTATTTATTCTACTGAGTATCTTATTGAGCTCTGCTGTTGTACAAACCTGGCCAGATTTCTTAAGGTGTTCCACAGCCTGTTTGTGGGTGATGCCACAGAGACTGATGCCATCTACTTCCAGCAGACGATCACCTGAGGCAAAAGAAAACAAAAAAACCAGACAAAAAAGAGTCAAGTTGCTTTCAAGTTCAAGTTTAGTGGGTACAAACCTTGAGGCAAGCCACTTTGCAATACATCTTCAAGGTTACATGTGTCAAATTACGTTACTTTGTATGAAAGCAATACTGCTTGTTGTGAAGCATTCTACAACTAGCACTTAAAGCGTACCAGAGGATTCTGTAAGTAAATGCAGTGACAGTATGTGGTTATCACAGCAACAGTGGAAGTAGATGTTAGTCACTAGCCTGATGTGTAGATACAGAGTAACTGTATGATATTGGTATGAGGCTCCTGGTTTTTCAGTGGGATATCTACAAGTAGCACAGGGACAGGCTGAGGAATGATGGACAGCATATTACAGAATCCCAATTGTATGACCTCCAATCCCAAGTGTGTTTCATTGACCCTGTGGCAAGCGTTCCACACAAACATTCTGCAGCCAAGAGTCTTATTGCCAGACATGTTACCTATCTTTATTTGCCCGTCCTTATCTGCTGGTCCCCTGGGAATAATTGACTTCACGTATATCCCGCCGTGACGTACACTGGTGTTAATTCCACCCTGCAAAACATATGGCCAAAGATTAGAGTGGAGTCTTCACGTGTTCTTCCTGTGATACAAATCAAAGCGACTTACACATGCATTGTAAAGCAACTGCTTCAGGAATTACTTTTTTTTTTTCAAATATAGGAAAAAATGGAAAGAGGATGTTACTCCTAAATCTTATCTAGTTGTAATATACTTCCCTAGGCAGTAATCTTGTTTTGTTTTCTCAGGAAAATGCAATGTATTTCTACATGGCTATATAAAAACATTTACTAAATGTGCGTATTTTTTTCCCTATGCTAACATAAAGATGGGGTTGCATCTTTCAGGGAGTCTCTAGCCCAGATTCCAAACTATGCAATATCCATTCAGCAATTACTAATCTTTCAGACAATATATAAAGCATGGACCTGTACTTGCGCAGCCACTTGAGAGCCCGCAGCTCAAAGGAATTTCAGATTAGCTTAAGAGCCATGTTCTGTCCATCTACATCCCTCGACCAAATTCAGATGCAAAAGCAGCCCTCAGTTTCTCCTGCATGCAATGAAATGGCTGTTGTTTCCCACACCATTTCAGCAAGAACAGTAAAGACATCTCATCCTAGATGGCTAAACTCAACTTCAATAGCCAGAACAAGGAATTACTATTCAAATGTGGCAGATAGTTTTCACTGCTGCCTTCTCTATTCCTCTAAAGATACAGAGAACTCAATTTCCCTATGTTTGGAAATAAAATTGGCTAGGACCCTTTCTCTTGCCTTCTGAGTAAGAAGCATGGCATTTCTTGAGTCCACACAGCTAAACTTTCAAGCCCCCAGCATGGGATGGCTTCTGTTATACTGCTTGTTGAGACACAGGCCAAAGCCATATCAGGGACTGTCACAATTTAACACTGCTTGTGGGCCACTGCCTGAGCCCATGTCATGGTCCTGGGTAATCTGTAAAAAGACAGAGACTTTGAGTTCCAGGAGCTCCAGGGGAGCAACAAAACCAGTCATGGCTTGCAGGATTCTTTGTATCACTGCATTTTCTAGGGGTTCTGGGTATACCCCTCCCTGACCAAACTCTGCTTTCAGTGGTCGGTCTTGCTCTCAAATTGAGTAAGGATGAAAAGGGCTTGTACTGCCACCTGCTTTATGCCAGCACACTTCTTTCATGAATTCTGCAGGCAAGAACTGGGGAACAAGCAGAGCCTTTATGCTATGCTTTCTCTGTCAATCAATCAGACACTCAGGTTTGAAATGTGCCATGCTAACAGTTTTTGCTATCAGCCTATTTTCCATCTTTGTTATACATAAATTCACTTCCCTATGTGTTTCATGGTCATGTAATAGTTTGACAGACACACTGAAAGATTAACAGTAACACTTGCAGTCACACTTATTCCAAAAGTCCCGTCTTCTTTAACAAGCTCCACAGTATAGATTTCCTTTGAGTTGGTTTCAGGTGGAGATGGTAAGTGTGAAGAATCAGCTTCCTGTCTCAAAAATATAAACACTAATGAGACTACAGCATCTCAATTATAAAGGGGAGGAAAGGAAGGGAAAAAAAGGAGATTGTTTCTAGAAGATATAAAGGGTTTCATCCTGGAACGGTACAGTTTATATCCCTGACATTATTTCAAGCTTACATTAATGTCACTCAAAATATAATGTGTTCAAATGTGCATAAGCTGCATATAGATAGGGAGGATGTATAATGGTAGGAAATTGGGTACAAAACGTTCTGTGTCTGGTTGAAAACTTCAGAGATTGCAAGCAAATAATCAAAATTTTTTTACCTCCACTGGAAAAGGGAGGAGAATTTTTAATAACATTTTGTGGAACGAATTCACATATTATAGGTATGTCTATCATTTTGACATTTCCAATGTAATTTAACAAGAAACACCTTCCAACATTTTCTTTCTAGTTTCCTCATTTTTTTATTTCTCAGTTACTTTCAATTGTTGTTATAGCTAGCATGTTGTTAAGACATAATATTACTGAACAGCATCAAAAGCTCATTTACCTCCACATCCAAGCTACCAGCTGCAGGAACTGGAATCCTAGGGCCCAGTTTTGGTGCTAAACTCCAGGAAAGAGCCTTCTCAAGCTCATCTATATTTATGTCCTGTTCTTTGGGGAGAGCTGTATGACAATCCTGAATCTTTTTTCTCCCACTGTCCACACAAGAGATCTCAGATCCACTAGTGCTGTTTCCTCTTGATAGATTCTTTTCTTCATTTAATCCGTCTTCATACATGTCTGTAAAGCCAAACCAAAATAAAACGTTGCTGAATGCAAACAGAAAGTAAACTTGAAGAAAAATGTTATTATAACTCGGGACAGGAGAACAAAGTAACTTCCTACATCAACTGGTTAGGAAATCACATCTGTGAACTGTGTCAGTCATTGTAAAATGTAATGCTGCTATTATAAGTGTGGAGAAATGTGTTTGCTTCATCGCTGCAGAGGACAATGACTATCTACCATAGAGAGAGAAATGCCAAAATTCCCTTAGTATTCAGCAATGCAGCCCATAATAGATTTTTTCACTGACTGTAGAACAGAAAACACATGATACCTACTAGAAGTTGACTGTTTTCACTGCTAGTCTATGGTTATTATAACTGCCACTGAGTAGCAAGAAAGTATTACTACATCCCTATGCCTAATAAATACCAGTGTCCTGTGTTAATCATTAGCTTTCCATAGCCAGCAAAGGCATTTGCCTTTATACCTTTGGGTTGAGAGATGATGAGCTCCACTTCATCAGGAGAATTCTGTATGATTTTAACTGCAGTATTAAATGAAACACCCTCGAGACTAATATTATTCACAGAGATGAGTCGTCCTCCTTAAGAAAAAATAAAGTCAAGACAAAGCATATCTAAATAAGGAAATAAATCCAGAGTAGCCAACTTTAAACCATGAAAGTATTTTAATTCTATTTAAAAACTAAGGACTATGACCTGGTTTGATATTTCCAGCTCTGTCTGCAGGTCCCCCAGGGATAATTGAAGCGATAAAGATACCAAGGTCTAATTTTCCTACATTTTCTCCTCCAATAATTACAAAACCTGCAAAAACAAGATAGCATGAGAATGCAGTATTAGAAAAGATGAACCTTAGGAACACAAAACGCTCTTACTCCAACGGCTTAAGTTTTATACATGGTCTGGAGAAGGGGGAGCTCTGATTTATATGGCATCAAAGCCTTGATTTGAGAGCGCTTGAAACTCACATTATAATTAAAGTGGGCTGGTGACTTTGGTGGCTATTAAAATGTAATTTCTCCATAAGAATACTTTCCTGGCTTGGGACTTTTAAAAATTCCAACTGCTTTCTTACAGGAGTCATAAACTATGTAGACCTTAGTATTTAACACCTGCAGGAGGAGAGTGGTATAAAAGCTCATTAGATAAATTTGAACATTGTTCTACATCATGTAGACTAGGACTCCTGAGGTGAGCCATGTAAACTTCTAATGGATATGTAAGAGATATCTAAGAAAATTTAACCCGTTATTGGGTAGTTCAATGTCCCTATCCTATCACAGAATGTTCTGCCAATTCCAGAATATATTCTTGTAACTGGTAGAATAGTTGGATTTGGGATCGGGATATTCCACATAGGCTTGCACCATTTAGTAATCTTATGTTTAATTATATTAACGGTCAGGTGTGAAACTTGATGGTCCTCTGAGCTCATCCACAAGAACAGGATACAGTGCAATAGTGTATTATAGAACAAAAACATTTTTCAAATAAGAATCCAAAAGTTGGAAAACATTCATGTGAAGCTTGTGTAGACATTTTGCACCCGACAGGCAATATCTGAAAGGTTTGCGGAACGTATCTCCCCCTGTGCAAGGTCTAAGATAAATAAAATCACTGCACATGTATTTCAGCCACAAAACAAGACCCTTGTTCCTTTCACTCTACTCCTAGCATTTGGTCCCCTTGACCCCTGTAGCCTTAGTTAATCCTCTGAAAAAATTGTGTTCTTGATTTATGTGCTTAGTCCTTCTCAGTTGGAATTCTAAGTCCTTCACAAAGATTGGTCGTCTTATTCTAAAAGAAGAATAAATGAGGTGAAGAAGGTTACAGTCTTGTTCAGCTTGAGTCAGCAAGTATCATTGTTAGCACCAGAATCTGACAGTCCCAGTAACAAACATAACATGCATGCTCTTTACTTACCAAATCCATTCTTAGTGTCACGTTTTAGGCTAACGCAAATAATTTCTCTTTCTAGACCACTTAGCAAAACTTCCTTTTGGATGGCTGGTGATCCAGGTGCTGCAGAAACAAAACAGCTAGAATAAATGCAGATTAATGCAGGGAGACAGTAGATTCATCTAGTATGCAAAACTGGGGCTTCAAAAATTAAAAATATATTTTGTCCTTTTTTTCAACATTACCATTACTCTGAATCAATAGAATTCAGAAAGGAAGCTCAAAGAAGCACTTGGAAATTTGCATTCTTTAGAAAAGTCTATGTATAATAGCTGTGTAAGCTCTTCCTATAATATTCCTTTCAGAGAGAGTATGCATTAATCTGCAATGTTTTTATTGAGATTAGGATATCTACAGAGTCAGGCATGTAATTCTTATTAAACGTGAGGGTGATTTGGACACAAAATCTCCTATGGGTTCCTTTGGCAACTCTAGCCTTCAGCCCTGTGTATTAACGCTACTTAGCATTATACAATTGCCACAGTGTGTTTAGAGTACGGTTCAGATTTTTATATGGACTAACCAAACAATCATAGCTTCGTATTCCATAGGTCTGCTCACTGTGTGCATAGCAATATTGTCCCATTGTCCTGAGTGTACTGAACTACATCCCTGAAGAGCATCAGGCACCACTGATAGAAAAATTTTATCATGAAGTCCCTTGCCACTGATCCTGATGGAAAGCAGGAGTGAAAGGGTAGAAAACAGATTGGGCTGCTAAACTCTGGGTTAATTCCCAGGACTAGAAGTGCAGAAGGTTATTCTTTAATCAGTAAGTAGAATACATTTTGGTCTCCTGCTATTGAAACAATAAATACAAAGGGTGCTGTCTCTCTCTAATAATTATACTCACCACTGATTGTGTTCTGAGTTGAATGGATAGAGAGGTAGTCATAACTCCGTTGCTTTCCATTCAAATTGATGTGCATTTCTGACTGGGATAGCCCTGATGTGGATCTGCATGGCAGGAAAAGAAGACTGTGTCATAATAACAAATTAGCAATGGTATTTAGCACTCTTCATTGTCATTAGTCTGTCAGACCCAAGTTGGGAATGCATATGTTTATAGCCTTTCAATGAGTATTCTCATTTCTGGGCCACATTTCATCATAGGGTAGAGGTAGTTTATCTGTGCCAGCTTTTGCTTCCAGATTACAGTGGCCATTAAACCACTCACATCACAACTGATTTCCTGCTGTGTTTTCTCTGAGCTGAGTGCAGGAATCAGGAAAACACAGCATAGCCTCAGCATGATTAATTTAGCCCTGCTGTCAGTTTAGACAAAATCACATCTGAACGTTTTCCTGGTAGTTCATGTTCTTCTTGGCTCTATTCTAACTCTTCGTATTCTGAAAGGCACTAGAATTCATCAAAGGCCTTGAGACTGTGTGCAGCTATAGTAACCACCTACAGTGTTGAATGTGCCAATGCAAATGAAAACAGAGAAGTTCTTACACTGCTCTTTATGATTTGCACCTTTACACAGGGAGAAATCAATTAGGTAAGACTTGCTTAAATACAGCTTCCTCTGTGCATTCAGTTCACATACTGCCATTTCCAGAGAAGATACACAGACATTAAAGATTTCACTTTTATGCTCCCTTATTTTTATTCTACTCCATAACCCCACAAGTGGTTCATTCCTGCGTCTGGTACAAATTTAAATGTCACTCTTTCAAGTTCTTATCTGTTAGACTGTTAGCTTCCTGCCTGTGTTTGCACTACTGCTGGCACCATGGAGCTCCAGGCCTGAGAGGGCCTTTTGGTATGACCACAGCAAAGCCTGAATAAAAAAAGGCTGCCTTACAGTTTACCATAGAGGTTTGCAATGACACAGTCTATGCCTGAGTATTCTTACACACATTTGCAGGAAAAAGCACACCTACCTGCCAAGATTGCTTTTGTCTCTAATCCTGTTGTTGGTTTCCACACTGAGGTTATCACAAGATTTGCTCATCATCCCAGCAGAAAGGTTTTCCAGGTTTGCTCCATAGAGCACATTCTCTGAACGAGACAGTCTCTGAATCAGGGCAAGGTGTTCACGCTGAGCTGCATATGCAGAATTTGATTTGTCTATTTCCATAAATTTACTATCCTCTGAATAAGAATGGAGAGAGAGGGTGGGGAAGGAAAGATAAATCCATTTATATTATCCCATCTTTTTAAGTGCAAAGGTGTTTTCTGTCTAACCTTTTGAACATGCCAGCAAAAAAAGACTGACATCACAGATGTATTTGTTCCGGTATCCTTGAAGATATCTAGGCTTTGGAGTGAGTGGGAAGGGTTTCCAATCCAATTCTTTTATAGAAAGTATATGCTGTATTTAGGTTTCATTTCTGTGAATTATACTGCAAAGTCACTTTCCACGTACAACCCTGCATAATTTAAACCTGAATATCTCTGTAAAGTAAATTTTGTAAACATTCAGTTTATGAGAAACATCTGTCTGTCTGCGACTGAATTAGCTAGGTTGCTATTTTCTCATCCTTCACAGGCCCAACAGTCCAATATATGTATATCTCAGAAGACAGGAGCTCTAAAAATACATGTTCTCTTAAGTTCAGAGAGAGGAAAAGGAGCTGGCTGTTTGCTCTGAAGGATTTGCACAAGTGAAGTTGAGTAGGGGACCATCTTGGTGGCTATGCTTGCTATCCAGTTTTCCACCTCTGTGTGAAATCTGCTGCTTGCCTAATGATATCTGGGCTCTGCTATAGATGAATGTATCCTCTCAAAAGATTCTATTTCCCTGAAACACGATTGTGCTGGAGGAGGCATTGTTAATTTATTTAGGTTCTCAACTGGGGGGCTGGAGAGAGGATTTGAAGAAGAGGGAGACAGCAGTCAATTGGAGACACATCAGAAAGTAAAGCAAGAGCCCTGCTTGGTACAGGCTAGCACAAATATTGGCTTTAATTCTGCTTGTATGTGACAGCTGACCTCCTGTGCATTTTCCTCAAAAAAATACTAGCCTGAATGCGACTTTGTAGAACACTTCTCTGCAGCATTATACTTAGGACTCCTCTTTCCTCAGTGGCTTTGACTGGGGGCATTTGTTAAGGAATCAGAAGGTTTAACTGTCTACATTATTAGCAGAGTCTGAGAGTTGCCATGGTGATTTCAAAGCAGGGATTTGCTAGCAAGTTTTGAAGAGACGGTGACTTATACATCTGAACAGTGCAGCAGAAGGAAGAGTTTCCCTCATGCAGAAAGAGCCGTATAATCTCTTACAGCCTCTCTGTGGTGGCAAAGGCAGCATTTTGAACTACTGTCAGTTGTTACCTTCACAAAGTCTTTTTTTCTGGGACAGCAAGCACACACCAAACCTCAGAACCTGCAGTCACAAGGGTTGTGTAAGTCTGGCTCATTTTAGGGATTTGAGGTGTTTGTAATCAGGACTTGGGTTATAATTTTCTTAGCTTTCAATCAATTTGTTCTCTTATATATGGAATGTGGTAATTTTTGTTATTTTTTATTAAGACACAATACCACAAGCAAATGTGACACAGGAAACTTTAAGATTCACTATTAGCACTCATTTGAATACTACGAATCACAATCCCGCTAAGTTACATTTGAAGCTACAGGAGCCTAAGCAACAAACATTGCCTAGAACCTAAATGTTATCCTAGCACCTTTTACCAAGGTAACAAATTTGTGCAAGTGGAATTTCGCTTTTCATTAAATTATTTTAGTAGGAAAGAAGCAATATGTCAATCAATTTGTTGCCAACACTTTTACATTTTTACTAGAGAAAAGAGTATCCCAGAGGATAAGTCATGACGCTTGATTGTCCTGCTGTGACTCACTGGGTCAAATACTCAGTGATTGTAAATGGTCATGATTTTGTTCAAGGCAATGGATGAGTCCTCAGTAGTTAAAACTCACGTTGCTCCACTGAACTCAAGAGTTATGACAGTTGCCAGCTTAGGCTGTTATTTCTCATGTGCCTCAGTTTCCCCATAATGATCCTCACTCATCTTTACAGAGCAGACTGAGAACCGTGGGTGACAAGTGCTATGCAACTGCCCTGGATTGAGCAGAACCTTGTCTTAGAAACTGTGGAAAATCCTAGGTCTAAGGACTTATTAGTCATATCTTCCACAGACACGGCAAAACATAAGATAAGATAAGATAAGATAAGATAAGATAAGATAAGATAGCAGCTACATAGTTGAGTGAGTATGACTGATGTGCCTTTGGCTTAGTGGTTTTGTCCTGGAACTTAATCATAGGGTTGAACCCCTGTCTTATGCAAAGAAAATGAGTTAACTAAATTCAGCTCCAGCATATCTGGGCACTAGTATCATTATTCTTTGTGTGGAATTTTTCTCATGTTACATTTGGAGTAAGTCTGATATGTTTTTTTCAGAATTCTCAGTAGGCTTCCTGAACAGAAGTGTATTCATGCTTTTTTTAAAAATCTGAGTTTAGCTACATAGTTATCATCAGAGAAGCCCTCTCCACCCCCTGCGTGTGCCCACTCACATGCACACACTAAATTAGACTTCCATACCTCTTGCTTCTAGTGAAGCGGGAGACTTTATTTTCTAGTCTGCAGATGAGAAACTAAAGCACAGTGAAACGGATGTGGCAGGTTCTGATTCTCAGCTTCACTGAATGCACCTTTGCTAAAACCTAACCTTGTCCTATGGCCTGAATAGCAAAAGCACATTTATACCTCACCTGATGAAGTTTGCCGAAGTTGCCTAGAATTCATCTGTGCATTGAATTTGTGCTGGGCAGAGCAGAGGTCCAGTAGATATTTACATGTCTTTGCTGTATCTGTAATGAAGGTGTGTTTCTTGCCACTGAAGCTACTTTCAATCATAAATTTTTTTCTCTAAAGGGAAAAAAAAAAGCACAGCTTATATCATATATCAGTCATCACAGTGAGGCACAGAAAGTTCATTTGTATAATCTTGTTGATTTGTTCAATTATATTTATGCCTGGCTGCTGCTGTTTGGGTGCAGTAAATGCCTATCATAAATTCAACAGTTGTTAGTGAGGTGTCTGTCATTGGGATCATAACTGCTCTGTGTCAGAAATCAAGAGCCTTTGGCATTGACTGCACTGAGAACAGGTTGATAGAACTGGCAAAATCTGGCCCTACAGATGTTAAATGATTAAACCAATTTAATGTGAAAATGAAAATATCTTCAAGGGACAGAAAGGCCATTTTGGAAGAGCATACAGGCTGGGAAATGTGTGATGTAGGTTGACACCTACAGCATATGATGGTAGATTGATACACTTCTGATGGCAGAATACCATTTAGAAGGGGTCACAGTCTTGTCACCAATACTGGTTTGTTAACAGATGTCAATATACTAAGAGACGAGGATGAGAATAATGAGATTTGGAAAGAGAGAGACATGACCCCATGACCCGATGTAGGTAGGAAAACAAGGGAAAAGAGAGAGAGAGAAGTAAAGAAGAGAGAGGAATGAATATGGAATATGCTGTGAAGAGGTTTGACATAGTTTCTGTAATAGTCAGCACCAGATTATTCAGTTTTATAGTATATTTTCAAAAAGGATTTGCCTGTGTAGAATGAATCTAATTCTGGCTCTGAGTGCAATAAATTTATCAAAGTGACAGGCAGAACGGGAGTAAAGTAGAGTGAAGAGATTTACTTGGTTCCAACTCACATGAGCTGAAATTCTCTCTGTTTCACGCCACTGGAATCTTAAACTGGCAATTCTTGTGTGATTTTTGACCTCATACACAATGATGCCTTTGGCACAGATTCCCAGGATGATGTCCCCTCCTGCTCCTTTCTTCTCTTGAGACACACGGTAGAACAACACTCCATATTCAGGAAGTTGCTGTGTCACCTTGTAGAGAAAAAGTGCATTTACCATGTGTTACTCAAAAAGAGGGAGGGGAAGAAAAGGTAGGCAGATGGAAGAGGAAATGGTTTTGAGTGTCTTTACTGAATATTCTTTCACTCTGTCAAGGGACCTCTGAAAACCCTTACCAAATTTTCACACCTTCTGCCTCACGGAATCATCACCTTACTTTGGTATGCCATAGAGCCATTCTAGACATTCAGTTTCCACGTGTAAAATTGAATTACATTTCCCACACACCTCATTTGAAGAGGTAGGATTGTGGAGCTTCCTGCACAATAATCTAAACAGTACCGTGGCACTGAGGTACTCAGCGTTACTGCTACTTGGCACTTGTGTGCATTTCTGAATAGAAATCCATGCAGGATTAGTTCTGCTTGACTACTGTTAAACTTTGTTTCTTTCCATTTTCTTTTTTTGTGTCTGTTTCTGTTTCCCTGAGCAAATCCAGAAGCCATGAGGTACAGAAAATATTATTATCATAGTAAAACTGCTAATACTTTGGTACCAGGGCTACTCTGACATTGTTATGGCTTATGTAGTTTTCTTTCTACAATAGTGATGACCAGCTGGAAATCTGAACTGGAGTGACACCACAGTTTCCAGTCTGCAACAAACTCACTCAGGCCCATACACCCATTCTGCCATGGCTATCGTCTTTTAACATCAGACATTATAAATTTACATTGCAAATAATCTTAACTCACAGGGTTTGCTAAATTGTGCCCCAGTGTCTCTCACCTAAGTATAGTGGTGATTTTCTGAGGGAATTTCACCGCCCCAGAGTGCCCTTCAGTGCCAGACTTTATAGTAACAGATCTTCAGTCTTGCTTGTTGTTGCAAGCACAGTGCTCATTGCTGTGTGAAAAGTTAAGTAGCATTATACTTCCAGGGACTGAGAAGCCAGCTTCTGTCCCTGCCATCTAACTGTGCAGAGGTTCTGGGTGTTCTTCCTTGTCTTTCTACCTCTTGCGCTTGGCCACAAAACGTTAAAATGTGACTCAGAGCCTCGACAGAACTGTGGAATATGAGGAGGGGTTTGTGTCCTCTTTTGTGATCTGCTGATCACTATGGGTTTATTCTAAAATGTATTTTTTTCTGGGAAACTAACGTAGAATCCCCACATGACTTTTCAACCATGAATAGAGATTTTCAGTGACCAAAATAAAACACTTTAAGAAGATCTGTTTTTCAGAAAATATCCAAAGCACAAATGTTCAGGTCCTGAAAACTGGGGCATCTCTAATCACAAGCTGAATCTGTGTTTTAATTTTTAATCCCTTTCATATTTGGAATTTGCAAGTTCTTGCCATGGGGGCTATCTTTCTTACTTTGTATGATGTGTTGGCTCCTTCTACAGACTTACTCATTGAAACAGATACTAACAAAGCTGCTTTTCTTCATTGGATTTGCCACGCACGATGGGACTGTCATTAAGGCTAAGCTTCAATCTATTTCCTCAGTTCCATGGACAGAGTTAGATGAGGAACTAGCATAATTAAACAGCAACTGAAGTAAGATGATGCTATAAATAAAAGCATGTGGCACTGCAGCAAAATGGCTACTGGTATTTATCCATTATCTAATCCCTGGTATTTTTCATTTGATGGAAAGCAGAGGAGTTTGGGGGAGAAGGAAGAATTGGAAGGAGGGAGGAATAAATCCCACATAGTCATAACACTCTAGAGCCCTAGAGAAATAGTCGTATGAGAAAATACTACGGGTAACTCCTTCCTCACTTCCCGTGTTTGCAAATATTTAAAAAGAAATAATCACTACATGTTCAGTAGCTGCTGCAGTTTCAGAAGTCAAGAAAGTGCTTATAGCCATGTTTTATAATAATGTCTAATACATTCAGTAGGTGTATTTACAGTCATCTGGAACCCAGACATGCTGAAAATTTGGATCAACCCTTAGGATGTTGAAAACACCCTGAAATGTGCGTTAATCCTTTATAAACTATTGATGAAAGGAAATCTACCATGTAAATGTGATGTAAGTTATTCTTAAGTTATATCCATGTGTGATACTGAGTGACAGTATCTATAGCAGACTGAAATGCTGAGGTTTTTCTTGACTGTTCAAATTTGTCCACCATATCTAAAATCCATTGTATCAGGCAAGAACAAAATAACAGACTGGTAAATAGAGTGGGGCTTTCTATCTCAAAATAAATAAATAAAGTTTGGGGTATGGCAAGTTACCTTTAAAAATTCTAGTTCAGCTTCATCCTCAAATAAGGAACGATTCATACGATGTAATTTAGCAAGCTCTCGCTGCACATACGCCAGGGTCATTTTCTCTATTCGGCTTGCTGGAATGTAGTCTTCAACACGAAAATAGCTCTTTCCGTGCATCTTTGGGAGATGAAAAAAAAATGAAAAAGCGAAACAGAGAGGAGCCTTTTGTTCTTTCTTGACTTCTCTTACATGGTGCATTTCCGTTTTCAGGGTGACCGTATGCTGAAGTCACCTTGCTGCCGTTTCCTAAAAGAAGATGGGGAACAGCATCCTGACAGCCAAATGTGCCTCTTGCACCTTAGCCAAGCGCTCAAAGCACACACTGCTGCTCTGTGCAGAGGGGAGGAAAGAGCTGGGCCTGCAGGCATGACTGCAGGCTTGCACTCAGAGCTGACAGCTACAGCTGCATCAGTACAGCCTACAGTGGGGGGGACAGTGCCAGGAAGGATCTGACCGGTTGGGTCAGACAACTCAGAGTTCAATTACTAGAGCTACACTGATTTATATAACTGAAGATACGGCAGACAACATAAATGGGTATTTACTGTATACTTCAAACCTGGAATAACTAGTTCAGATACACCACCAGCCACCCTCCTGTCTTTGCAGCTTATGGATCTGAGCCTAGACACAAAATAGCTGTGAATTCTGGAGTGTGTATTATTTTTTCCTCTTCCATGTTTTCTAATCTCTTTAAGAACTTCTGAACATCCAAGCTGTGCCTATGTTGGAAATTTTCTACAGATATTATGGAGTTTCTTGGCTGTGTTACCAGTTATGAAGGACCAAGAGTCTTTCATCATTCTGCCATATTCGCTGCCAAATTCATCTGGCTCATTACTGCTCCTTAATCAGGCAAATTCTGTAATTTTTTTAAATTAAATCTGAAACGTGATTACTGAACAACTTAGCTGAAATCACATGCTATTCACATTTCTTTAAACTCTATGTGACAAACAAAAACTGCAAAAGAGCTCTGAGAAATATTGTATTATTTATCCACACCTCAGAAGCGTAATTGCCAAGCTCTGCCTGTAAAGCCAAAGCGCCGAGTTTCAGGGCAGTCTCATCATTGCAATATAATCGCTCCTCCAAAATATCTTTACGAAGCTGCAGGTAAAACTGATGTCTTGTCAAGCCGTGTCTGGAACACAAAAGGGTTTAGGAACACAGGAGAAGCCTTGAACAGTCACCCTAAATCCTGCTGGTTTATCCTACAGTCGGCAGAACCGTGCACTTACTGGATAACATTAAAGTGGTTGACAAAGAATTTTATTTTTTTTTAAATTAATGATGGAGGTTTTCTTCTTGGGTTGGTCATTCCAGCCATCTGGGGACACTTTGTAGAGTTTGGTCTCCTCATCCAAAAAGAAGAATTCTTTACCTGAAATGAGAATTTTGGGTTCTGTGATAAGTCTGGAGATACTTCAGTAGCTCAAAGTTCTTGCTGTCTTCATTCAGTGTATCACTAGCACTAAAAAACTAAAATGTATCATGGATGTCTGTTGAGATTTACTTCTCTGTGTCATGGCTTAACTTATTGCTTCTTTGATGGAGAACTTATGACGACACTTAGTGTGTAAGTTAGGATTACAGTTGTTAGATGCTGGATAGGTATGGTATCTATGGCATCACTCAAGAATTGATGAGGCTTGCATTCCACTCACCATTCAGGTTCTGCACTCTGTTGTAATCCTCATGCCCTACACACAAGGTATGCTCCTTCCTAGTGCCTCAGCTCTGCTTGCCATCAGAAATGGGCTAGGGAAATGTGGATTTTGTAGATGAAATAACCGAGCCTGTACTCCAACTTACATTTAGGAAAAAATGCCCCTCAGTTCAAGAAGGACAGGGAACTGCTGGAGAGAGTCCAGTGTAGGGCTACAAAGATGATCAGGGGAGTGGAGCATCTCCCTTATGCGGAAAGGCTGAGGGAGCTGGGTCTCTTTAGTTTGCAGAAGAGGAGACTGAGGGGAGACCTCATTCATGTTTATAAATATTTAAAGGGTGAGTGTCACGAGGATGGAGCCAGGCTCTTCTCGGTGACAAACAATGATAAGACAAGGGGTAATGGACACAAGCTGGAACACAGGAGGTTCCACTAAAATTTGAGAAGAAACTTCTTCTCAGTGAGGGTGACAGAGCATGGCCCAGGCTGCCCAGAGAGGTTGTGGAGTCTCCTTCACTGGAGACATTCAAAACCCGCCTGGACGCCTTCCTGTGTAACCTCATCTGGGTGTTCCTGCTCCGGCAGGGGGATTGGACTGGATGAGCTTTTGAGGTCCCTTCCAATCCCTAACGGTCTGTGATTCTGTGAAAAAGACAGTCAGTCTTCCTCAGTACAGGGTTTCCTGGAATTTCTGCTGGAGCTACATCACTCAGTATTATTTCAGTGTAAGGCTGGGACACAGCCTTTTCTGCATGGGAATATTAGCCAGTATCAGTATGGTTGTGCTGATGCATGGTCCTAGGGTAGACATGCTTTACATTGGTGCAGTACAGTTTAAACCAATGTACCTTACATTTGCTTAAGCTTTGGATCTGCTTTCATCTGAGGATCTTAAAGGATCTTACTGGAATTCATTAATAAAGTGACTGTGGGAGAGAACTGTTGCTGTAGGTAACTGTGTCACCTTACCTTTTAGGTAAGCCAAGCCAAAGTAGAAATGTTCCACCAAGTTTGCATATGCCACCACGGTATTGAAAACATCTCTTGCCTTGGACTTGATGTCACATTGCACCTCAAGGCACTGCCCATTGAGTAGAATCACATTGAGATCCCTCTGGGACAAATAGGATTTCCCTTTTTTAGTCTAAGAACATGTAACAAAGAGTGAAGAATGAGTGCCAAGTACAAGCAATGCGACTTCCACAGCATTTTACTACTGAGGCCCCCCAGTCTCCTTTGTCTATATAACCTGATGCAATTGGTCACAACGCTATGCTATTCCCTGCCTCCCTTCTCATAAGTTAATATCCCAAACATTTCTAATTTTTTTAAAAGCCCATGGAATTCCAACAATGCAGCTGAGCATACTCAGACTCGACGATCATTGAGGTTACTCTAGATTGAAGAGTAATTCCAAATTTTCTTTGGCCTCATTTTTACTGCTGTATGCTGTCAGCCTTTTACCTTAATTTAATGAAAGGAAGAGGATGTGCCTGCAAACTGGAGGAGTTCAATACATTGGCACTAGGTGTCACATTGCATATTTGCTGTGAAATCTTCATCTCAGAAGTCTTGTGCTAAAGTGAGCATTCTAAAGTGAGCTGAGAAGGATGAATTAAGCTATTTTCACACCAACAGAAATAACCATGTAGCACTGAGAATTAAATGACCTACTTTCAAGTCTAAATACCTCTGCAGGAACCCTAACTTGGTTTGGGAAAAGGACATGGCAACAGTACTGGGTAGGAACTCAGATGCAACTTACAAAAAGCCCCAACTAAAAGGTCACTAGATCAGTTCAAAACTTCTCAATGCTCATACTTACCACAATTGATCCAGGCAGCTGTAAGGTCACTGGTGGTTCACTAGACAAAATAATAAATTCTGGACCTGAAAACTGTAAGGAGGCGATTTAGAGATTTAATAAATGTATCCTTAGTGCAATGATGATCTCAAAGACCAGTGCCAATAAAATACTTTTCTGTTGATCTGTATGCTGTAGCTAAATGACTACAGTGTCAAATAAGGTGCAAATGCTGATTGAGGACTTCTCTCTGTTTGGGGTTTCTCCTGTGTGGGGTCTCTGGGGTCTAACTGGGGGAAGCTCATGCTGAAGCGTTTTCTTCTGTAAAGACACTTAACCAAGATCCATTTCCTTTGCAAGGTACCATTTTTCATGACACTTAGGGAAGCTTATTTTCTTCTGAGACTTTCTCCCATTTGATTCCCAAATTACTATGAGGGCAGTCACAGACATGTACACACATACATAAACACTGCTCTGATTTAATAAGCCTAGCTTCCATAGGGAGCCAGACTAAAGTGCAGAGCTGCTTTCTTCCCTGTAATGAAGGTTGACCGATATTTCTTATTAGCAGACATTGTATTATTTTAACTTCAACAAACTTTAACAGCACAAGATGCTTTTTTTTTTTCTTGCTAAGCATCTGCCTAAAGGAATGTTGCATGTGGCTTTTTTTTT